CGGCGGCCATGTTCGGCAGCGCGTGAAACTGTGTGTTGCGCATGCGCACTGCGAGTGCGCGGCCCGTAGCCGCAGCTTTCCCTCTGCCTTGCCTCGTCTCACTCATACACCCGTATAACAGACACCACGCAAGCAACTCGTTCGAACACTTGCTGGCCGTTCCCATTTAACTGTTCGCACGATTCAGCGGCGGAGTTGCTGCTGTGAGCACTGCAGGCAACAACAGTCGAAAAAAAATTAAACGGAGTACAAAGTTCTTCTCTCACTCTCATACGATAGACCAATCTAGATATTGCTGATCAGTTTCGCGGGGCAGAGTTAGAGACACACGGCACTGACACTGTGCGTCGTGTGGAAACGGACAGGAAGCAACAGCATAGGAGCAGTTTTCTGTGGATGGTAAGCAATTGTGGCGGGCGCGCAGTACGGAGCACGTACGCTAACCTCGAAATATCGCGAGTAGCCTACTTGGGAGTAGAAGCGGCGGGTGTATATATACGTTCGGCCTCCCTCCTCGGGGCGGATAAACTTGGGGGATCGCTACGATGCACTCACGGCGGCGGGGCTCCCTTCTTTTTCTAGACCCCCTACCCTAACCTCTCTCTCACTCTACTCTACTCGACTCCCTCTCTCACATTCTCTCTCTGCTCTTCCACCCTTCCTGTCTGTCCCTTCGTCAGCCTGCTGCCGTCCGAGTGCATCCACACTCTACTGCAGCAATACCGTGATGCGTGTGATGATGACGTGGGCAATGCTTCTTTCATCGCGACTACTTTGTGGTACGTTCGTCTGTGTGAGTGTATCATATACGTGACTCTGGTTCGCGTGGTTGCAGTGCCTTCAACAATGGCGAAATATCACGCACACCAGTGATGACGACACCAAGATGTCTTGTGTGCAACGTAGTCGTTTTTAAATAACGGTTCGCTGTTTGAACGTGGCTCAGAAGATGACACTGTTACCAAGGTGTCAGGTTGCATGTCGAATGTCCGTGTGCTTTCATAACTGCTGATCTGGGAGAAGAAATAAATAAATATTGAGAACGCAATTGCAAATGGTGTAATATCGTAAAAATCTTGCTAGTTGTTTACGCTCCAACGAGTGAAGGTTTAATAATGACCGTGAAACGGTTTCGGTTAAACAACGTTCGTAAATAACCAGTTATTTGAACAGTGTATTTTTCAATATGCTCTGTTATGAAACTATTGTGACGGCAAATTTGTGTAAGAATCTTGACAGTGTATTATGTGCGACTGACTAGTTACCAATTTGGACTGCTGGAAATTCATGGAAGTAGTTGTTGGTCACTATAAATATGCTATCAATTTTCCAAAGAGCTCGTTGCTCTAAAATTATTGATGAAAGGTCTCATCGTTATTTCAATAATATTTCGACCATTTTGAATCCTAATAATAATCCATTCCTAAATGTTACATCAAATGTAGAGAAGTGGACACAGGAGTAATGCGGTTGCAATTACAGAGTCAATCAATTAAATTAATTAAATTTCTCAACTACACTACAATAACGTAAATATTTATTGCATTAACAGTATTCCACAAAGACGCTACGTTTACTATATTACGTTGATAAAAAATAAAGTTTCTCTCTTAGAGTAACCTTGCTCCTGTTATGTGACCGTATAGTCTAGAAATATATTCCTTTTTCATTTATAGACAGCTCGTTTTCTTAGAAATAAAGTGCACTGAAGAAAAAAAAATAGAAAATACAAATTCTCACTCAACAATCACGTAAAGGCGGAACTAAATTCAAACCAGTAGTAAAATCTCACGCAAGGGTAGGTAGTAGCGGATAGACCGGCAGAACAGGCTGTTCCTTCCTCGATCGACAACAGCCACGCAGGGTACTATTAGAACGTCGACTGCCGGTTCACACGCGCGGCAGCGGCTGCTCTCTTGACACGTAGAGAGAAAAGAAGGGGGAGATGAGAGAGACGAGGGTGGGAACCCGCTGTGGAGAGGAAGATTTTCGTGGGGGGTGATGACACGTGCTTTGCTACTCGCGGGGAGGGGGCGCCGTCAACTTGCTTGGTCAAAGTCACAGTGAGAGAGAGAGAGGTCGTACCTTTTTTCAGAGCTTTAACGGTAAGTGGGGGAGCAACGCGCGCGCGGAGCGGGAGTTAGCACGTGCTTTTTCAAGGCTCTCCGGGGTTCGGCAAACCAGGAGCTCATTGCTTTGGTGTTTACTTCGAATGATTTACGTACCGTAATAGTAATGCAATATTTCAAACAATAGTACGTTTATTTTTTTGTAATAACCTACAAACATTTGTAGAATATTTATAGATTTCAATTGATATCAAACATGATCCCGATTAACTTTACGCGTCAAAGTGCCGTAAAAAAAAGCGAGTAACGATGAATTATGTAAAAAAGCTCCGAATATTATTCGAGATGAAAGCCTCGAACAGAGAGATATGAGAAGGGAAGACCGATATCGGTTTTACAGCGCCCAGGTAAAAAAAGAAGAAGAACGCTAGGGTGAAAGCTGTCGACGGAACAATAAGCATAATACGAAAACGAAACACCTACCCATAGAGGGTACGAGAGAAAAATAAACGTTAAACCCTCCAGTTTTGCTCTTACCACCTCCTACGGCACATTTCGTAAATCTACACATACTCGTCGGATCATGTATTTTTTTTTCCAATAACAAAGACTTCTCGTACCCACGTAACGTTTTCGGAGTTTCGTAATTTGATGTGCACGCGAAACGAGACTACAGAGCGTAATCAAAACAAGACTGCAAAACTCGCAACTACACCACGCGGTTTCTCACTTCTCTCTCTTTTCCGTTCATTCATCTCCGGCTCGTTCTATCCCCGTCAGGTTTTTCTCCCGCTCTCATTCGTGTCGGGGCTTTTCTCCCTCTCCCATCACCTGTGACCCATACCCCACCCCGCTTGCATGCACCCCGCGGCAACAGCTTTGGCAATTCTCTCTCCACCTCCACCTACGTCCACCTCTCTTCCGAGATATCGTCGCCGCCTGCCGCTAGCACGAGTGGGGCTCTTTCTCTCTCTCTCTCTCTCTCTCGTTCGGTCTGCGTGTCGTTCACTTCTTTGTTTTGCTCCGGTGTTCGTTGAACCAGCTTGTGCCTTCGATATCAGCTGTTTCCTTTTGTTTTCGTTTGTTCTCGCTTACTAGCGAAAATTCTTAGGAAGATACTTTTTTCACTGTAGCGTACAGCAATAATGCACATGACTTTATATATTCAAGATAAAGACATATTTGGCATTTTAAAATCGAAATAGTGTTTATTTTTTATCTCGATGATTAAATTACAGTCCAAATTTGATGAAAACTCCAGCATCCATAACTTTCCCAAATTAGAGAATCACGAAAGTCACTGAGCCAATGGGCACAGAGTTGGGTGGCATACGGTTCGCTGCTCCCGCACGTCCTATCTTTATCCGTACGCCCTTCCTTCTCTCTCTCTCTCTCTCTCTCTCTTATTCGATCTATTCCCCCACGTGGCTTCCGAGACGCGCGTGACGCGATATCTTACCGTGGGGACTGCACGTCGACAGCCGCTTGGCTGGCTTGAATGCCGTCTCTTGCTACCTAAAAGCGGGGTGGGGGCGGCCGTGTCAGTGCGCGGGGGTGAAGTGGGGATTCTCGCTACTACTAACTCTGCCTACCCCACCTCTCACACTCTCTCTCTCTCGCAGTCCCCCCGTTCCTTCCTTTCAACACTGTTATGCTCTCTTTCTCTCGCCAGATCAGACTACTATCTATAAGCGAGCCCTTTTGTACCTTGCGGGTTTTACTGTTTGCGAACGGTTCAAAATTACGAATATATTAATGCTCACGTATGTCTCTCAGACTTTTGAGAAAACCCCCGGATGAAAACTGCATGTAATTCTCGCTTTCCGAGAGATTTCCCAAAAGCAATCGCGAAAGCTGTGAAAAACTGAATTCACATCGCGACTTTGAAAGAAAGCACGAAGCTCTCGCACGACGATGGCAATGGCTTGCAAGCTAAACGCTGCGACGGGCGCAAGCTCTCTCTTGGGCACGTCGCGCGAGGCGAGTGCGAAGCGCACGTGGCCAGCTCGCCGGCTATATAGGCTCGCTCCCCCCAAAGTGCAGTCGCAACACTCCTCCCCCCGCACGCCACGGCACGCTGCGATCGCGGAAGAAGGGCTAGCTGCCGGTTCCCTCTCTTCACGCGATGTCTGCCTGCTCACCTACCTGTCTGCCCGCCTGCTTGCTTGCCTGCCTGCCCGCTCGCCCGCATGCCACCCTCGCTCGCCTCGCCAGAGAAGAAAGTCACGCCGCCACCGCCGCCGAGTTATATCCCACCCCGTGACGCTCGACCACCCTGCTGCTACCCATGTCGAATGGGACTGTGATGGTGGATCTGGATGTACGCCGGTGGGGAGCACTTGTGCAACTTGTGCGCTTACGTGCTTGCTGCGCTCTCTCCGTTCATTGCTGGCGTCTGCAGTTGTCCCGCTTACACCTCACGATGATCGATTAACCCCCGGATAGCTTGAGTTAAAGCTTTTTCGAAGGCTCGCCTTTCCCTTTCAGATCTCACAAGTATCGATGTAACAGGCAACGCGGCAAGCTCGAGTGGCCTTGTATTAGATCGCTTCGAGAGATGAGTTGAAAACGGAAGGGGGGAGAAAAGAGAAAGAGAGTAACGCCGCGTTCGCGCGTGTGGGAGTATGCTGCTGGTGGCAACGAACAAGAGGTGGACGAGTATAGGATATGCGAATAATGTGGCGCGCAACTAATTTCAACAGCCGACGCGTTCAATGCCGCCGGCACGCACGGGGATTACATCGCTGCTTTTCGAGAGCTTTGCCGTGTCCCCGTCGCATTGTTCCTACTTTACAGGCAAACTGGGAAATGCTTTCGAGAGCATAAATGTATCATCTCGACCTGAAAATGTTTACTTTGTAACGACGTATGAATGAAGAGCTGAAAGTTGCCCCGCATATAACTAACCGAATACAAATTATCTGATTACAGGCACGCTAACTGATCGACCAACTTCATAGTTAATTCACCAACTGCCCCTTCCCCTTCTGGCAGTGAAGCAATGAATTTCACGCCGTTCCCAGGCTTCACTACGGGCTCGCTGCCGACGGGCACGGTGCACCAATTTGCCACTGCCAAGTTCGCGCAGAATTTGACCACTGGCGGGCAAGTAGTAGGTGTGCTGTCAGGTGGCGAAGGTGGCGTACATTATTTGCGTCCGGTCGACCCGAATGGTTTCACCGTTGCTCAAAGCGCCGGTAACCAGCAGCAGCAGATCATCACTCTACCTATCACCGTCCCCGGCAAGGATGGCACTCAGCAGCAGCAAACCGTGCAAATCCAAGTGGTCAATCCCAATGTCTCCCAGAGCGCCAACAGCAATGACCAACCCAAGTACATACCCATCTCGCTCAGCCAATTCCCACAGGGTGCTGCCACTGTACTCACCGTGGCGTACAGTCAACAGGGCAGCGACGGCGTACAGATACAGGTGGCACCACAAAACACCGTAGCTACCACGCAAACGTCAGTATAAACTTTTTGCCTTTTACCGCATTTTTCTCTGCTCTTTCTTTCCTATTTTTTTCTTTTTCATTCTTAATCAATTGCTAACTTAATTTTCCACAGCTCTGAGCAGACAACTCAAAGTACATCAACGGCAACAACGACAGCTCAACAGACTATACAACAGACAGTGCAATTGCCCGGAGCGCCAGAAGGTCTAACGGTGGTCGCTCAAATACCCCACGACTTGATTTTACGCGAGGCGATCGAAGAGTCCAAGGAGACCGAAGTCAAGACGGAAGCTGGCACGACACCGGTCGCCCTCATTAAGAGGGGTGGTGTCAAAGGCCAAGGTAACCAAAGTACCGAGGAATTCATCGCACAGATGCAGGCGGGGACCTGGCCCATTACCACCAACGTTACAGATTATATCACGAGGTATACATTTTTCAAATAATTTAATTTTAACTAGAGACGTTCGTACGGATGAAATAATTCCAATGAGATTTGTCGTTGCAGGTTACAAGGAGGCAGTACGCTACCTCTCACGTTACAGCACTTCCTTAAGTTCTCGGAAACGATAAAGCGCGAAGCGATAGTTGAAACGAGTCCTCTGGGTGCAGACGGCCTTGAAGCTACGGCAAGTACGGGTACCGACGGAACTGTCCAGATCACAGTAGCTGGTGGTGAGACTGAAATTATACCCGATGTCACCGAGGAGGTCACGGGTGAGCCTGGTGCCAAACCCAAACGTAAGAAGAAGTACAAGAAAAAGCCACCCAAGCCCAAGAAACCTAAACCAGGACAGGTGTGTAATTTTTTCTATAAGTATTTATGAGCTTCGCTTTTGGAAATTGGTGGCGGGGTTTTTTCTCTTTTCGATTGTTCGCATTGAATTATCGGCTGCTGGTTAACCTAGATTTTTCATTTATTTTTGCTCATAGCAAAGATACTTTTTTTGTTAATTCATTTTGTGGGATTTTTGTTTGATACTTAACGGTTGTGAAAAAAAATATGATAACATTTTTCTTTTAGAATTCAGCGAACTATTTTCTCCTCTTTTCACAGCGAATTTTTCCTCTTGTTTGTTTAGAAGTTTTTAGGTTGAGGTAACTGTTTCAGCTGATAATTTTTATGTAGAACATCACTAAAGAATACATTTCTATGAAGTTAACGTAAGAAACACAAAATCTTACAAAGCGTTTTTTCTCTTTTTATTGTTTTAACACACTCACACACTTGCGATGGTACAGATGAACTTCGTCGAATGTGCCGAAAACTCCAAAAGTAGACGTTTTAAGGTACAGCTGTGTTTTTGAGAAATATTTCTTTATAACGCTTGTATGAACGTTTTTTATTAATTATTTTTTGGTTTACATTTACTATTTGATTTTATTTACGAAAAATTTGACATGACCATATCTTTGTTTATTGGTAAAACATGCACTGAGACTATGTAAACTTTTACTTTTTGGAGTTGTTTTACTCGATATTCTTAATCTAACTAATAGTACCATTCAAATTGAATTCATAGTCCAGTGACTGGCAGCATTACCGATTGAACAAATTTGAAATAAATAGTCTTTTTTACATGTACATATCATCGGAAATCCTATGCAACTTTAGTTTTCATAAACTGTTGCAGAGGTAACAATATAAATAGTAATCAAATTTTAAAATGCTTGAAAAAAATTAAAAGATCAAAGTAGCTATTTTGACAGAAGTTTATTTAGTTTCACGCTTTTACGGTAAACCAAGCAAGAAATATATAGAAATAGCTGTAGTTGATTTATATTTCAGCTTTGACTGCTAATTGGTTTACTAAAAATATTAATTTTTTATGAAGCTATGTGTACCGTTAGTTAGTGTCTTGCAAACAAACTCACTATAATTTTTTTTATTTGTTCACTTTGTTGATATTGAAAAACAAAAATCTTGTGCAATGAGCATTGAAAATATTGATCAATAAATATATATTCTCATTTTTCTAGGTGAGTATCGTAACGGCTTTGGACGGCACGACGTTATTCTGTTGCCCCCAATGCAACATGGCATATCCCGAGAAGGAACTTCTCGAGCAGCATTTAATCGGCCATAAGATCGAAAGGCGGTTTATCTGCGATATTTGCGGCGCAGGACTGAAACGCAAGGAACATTTAGAAAGACATAAACTTGGTCATAACCCTGATCGACCTTTTATTTGCTCCGTTTGTATGAAGGTAATTTTGACGTCCTATTCTTTTGAATCACTTATTTCTGGTTCTCAATTGTAATTATGTATTCATTGTAATTTTGTATTTTTTAATCCGTATTACGCTGTACAGTATTTTTTTTTCATTTCATGTTAAAAATAACAGAAAATTTAATTTTTTTATAAAGACGAGTTACGCGGTGTATATTGACACGATAGATTAATGTAAAAAAGGAAATAATCAAGATTAAAGTTCATACTATTGATATAAATTTATACTATTTATATAAATTTATACTATTTATATAAATTTATACTATTTATATAAATTTATACTATTTATATAAATTTATATTATTTAAAAAACTTATGTTTATTCTAGGCTTCCATGGATTGTAAAATTTATACTTATTCTTGGTTCTATTTTACAGGGCTTCAAGAGGAAAGAACATCTGAATTTGCACTTCGTCATTCATAGTGGTCAGAAGACTGAGGTGTGCACAGAGTGTGGCAAAGCTTTCTACCGCAAGGATCATTTGCGAAAGCACGCTCGCAGCCATTTGGCGAAGCGAGCCAAAGAAGCTGATCCTTTATCGACTGGTGATGCGGTTCAAGCTCAGCAACAAGCCCAAGCACAGCAACAGGCCGTCGCTGAGCAACAGGCACAAGCGCAACAGCAGCAACAACAACAGGAACTTCAACAGCAACAACAGCAACAGCAAGTGTCAGAGGTCCAGCAGATTCAGATTCAAGTATGTTCGGAGAAGGGGATTCCTTATTTAACTGTCACCCCTAGTAGCCACGAGAATCTTCTAGGCTGAACCTCGTTTACTGCGCAATTGTTGTTGTATTGTGTTTATCCAAGAATCGCCTTTGTTTTTCGCTTGCTTCTTGTTTGCACTGCCTTGCTTCATTCCTTAATTTTAATGTTTATTATTATTTTTTAATGTTTATCAAAAACATTAAATTCAAACGTCGCAACATCATCGTCACTTAATGATATTTTTTTATTTTATAAGATGCATGTAACAAGAGCAATATGTCGTTGCTATTTTATTATATACGACTATCATGAAAACGCAATTTTTCGTTATGTATAAATAATTGTAAGTCGGGTATAATGTACATTAGTCATTGAACATCGAACTTCGAAAAGAGGACATTGAGTGTATGTGTTTGTGTGTATGTGTGTACATATATATGTATGTATGTATGTATATACATACGCATACATACACGTGCGTGCATGCACACATACACATACGCACACGCACATACATACATAAAAAAATGGACAATAAAAATTTGTATAATGAAAAATTGCTTTTGTATAAAAAAAATACCCGTCATAGTAAATAATGTCGATCACTTTACTTTAATGTTGCATATGCTTGTTGTTCACTCATACTGAAGCCTTGTTTGTTGTATGTTGTCCAAAAACTTGCGTGTTTATTTCCTTACTTTGTTTGAACGTTAGCTTTACAAATTTTTCCAACTCTTAGGTGGGCCAAGGTTCTCAAGCGCAAATACATCAGATTTCCGTGACTGAAGGTTCGACGGTTGTTCTACCAGCTGGTACCGACGCAGGAGCCATCACGTTACTTCAACATCATACACAACAGCAACAGCAACATTAGAATCGTCGCTTGTGCGCGAAAATAACGCCCGAAAGACACTAACAAACTATGAACTGTTGAATTGAACGCCTTCCGATGAGAAAAAAAAAACGTGTAATATAAGTTCTATCATTTCGTTAGGCTGGGTGATGGCTAGTTGCGTGTGCAGTCTCTACATTAGCGACTATATTATTTGGGTATTATCGAGTTAACGCGTGCAGTGTTGTAATAAGAGAATTTGTTGATATAGCTACGATATGCTGGTGAAAGCGAAACTAATAAGTTTTGTTTGTTTATGTTTTATTGATGATTATGTAACACGACAATTGTATGAAATTTTCACAACATTGGCTTCGATGAGGAACTTAACTAGATTTAAGTCATTTCATCTTTAGAGGCTTATCTTTCCTACGAACACGCATTATGTAAGTAAGGACTGGTGGCTCTTTGTAGAAAGTCTTTTTTCAGTATATTTCTATGTCAGCAATTGTGTGTGTAACGATAGCACACCAAGTACCAACTTTAATATGTACTCTAAGCATTTTTATTTTATACGCTCCATCATTTATGAAATTACCTTTTTGATGTTTAATTTTGACACTTCGATTTTGGTTTTGCTTTTTAATTAAATGCATTAGAAATAAAAGCAATTTTATTAGTCTACAAAGGATAATGGGCACTTGCAAACGTGCTTCTGTAATAAAATGATTGATCGATGAGTTAAGGAATCATGCAAATAATTGGACAAATTCTATGATGAATATATCTCTTGCAAGTTTTTATTCTGGATTCCAATATTCTTTACATGTGAAGAAAAGTATTGTGACCTAACTCATCTATAAATTCGTTTAATATTGACTACGGAGAAAAATGGTTTTTCTAGACCAAAAGTGATTTCTCATTTTTCAATTAGTGATCACTAAAACGTAATTTATGACATCATAAATAAGTAGCTAACTTCAATATGTGCTATTAAAATGTCTACAATTATATAGGAAAATGTAATGCAAAACTTACCAAAATAGATTTTTTGATGACATTTATTGCAATTTGATAATTTAAATGGCACATTATCTATTTTATATGCTATATTTTTTATAAATATATTTCATATTACATGAAACTGAATGAGAATACCTTATTCTTTTGCGACAAATTATACGTTAAAAAGAGTAAAAATTATTGTTTATATCTTATGTTTTAGAAAGTTAAATAAAAACTAAACTCAACAGATATGTCTAGAGAGTAACCAAATTTTACCCACAAAAAGCTACCTGTCTTGACTAAAAGTATTACTAAAACAATTTTCTTTTTTTCGGTAAATAAATGACACTACACATGACTTTTCTAATGAACGTTATACTTTATACTCAGATAAGTAGTGCTAAAATTTTCGTTTGATCGTTACCAATTCATAGTAATTCGAAAGTGCACTGTTAGTTTTTAACGCATTGACTGCTGACTCGTGACTCATTAATTCATCATTTGTTCTCCAAATCGGTAAACTTCTCATTCTATCAACATCGTTATTTAATTTTCTTAAACGATTTTTGCATCGTCCATATTGAATTATGTGATCTTAAAAACGTTTTCAACTTGAATCTTAAAAGAAAGTTTGAAGTTACAAATTTTTTATCATTGAAGCGCATTTTTCAAGCGTAATGTTCATTGTAGCTATATAATTCATTTGACATATTCCTGAATTTCTTAGATTATTGGATTGAATTTCAACATTTAGTTGTCAATATCGTCAATGCAAAAACTGATTTGAATGAAAGTGTACACGGTGATGAGAATTATTTAATAAAAAAAATGAAAAAATACGCGTTGTAGCGTAAAATTGTTGTAGACAGTAAACAAAGTCGAACGTTCACACATTGTAATCAAATACACGCGTCACTAACGTTTTATTGAAGCGAAATAGAGGTAATATGCCCTTTTTCTATTTTTACGTCAATACAACCCATAACATTAACAATAATATGTAAATCTATGGCGTTGAAAGTTTTTAATGCGAGGATAAAGATATAATAACAATATACATTAAGATGAAATGTACCTATAGCAAGTATGTGTGTATATGTATGCCTGTGTGTGTGTGTGTATTTTTGAGAGTGACCAGGATTCGTTAGAAATATCGGTCTTTGAGCTGATTTGGTTTTAATATCTAACAGGATCGTTGTGAGGGACTGATTCAAAATTGTAAAATTCCAACACGAATTGTACAGTTGAAGGTAAACAAGCACAGTTTTATAAGTTATTTTTCTTTTAACGTATGTGGAAAAGAGTAATATGGATGGGTAAAATGTAGTATTACCGAGTTTTTTTTTCATTAGTAATAATTTTAATATTGACACAATGTTTTTTACAGTGCAATATTATATTTTATAAATAAAATAATGTTATGCCATTAACGACATCAATCGGAGTGCGAGACATTGCATATTTTATTTATCCAGTCAAATTGTCGATGATAATTTATACTGAAGTTGGAACAATGAAGGTCATTGATCATTCGTAGCTATAAAAAATTCAAATATTTACTAATAATTTATACAGAGTAGAAAATTAAATGGTATGAAACGAACTGATTATATTTTATTGAAATATTACCAATGATTTAGACAGAGTAGAAAATTAAATGATATAAAACAAACTGGTTATATTTTTAATATTTACGTACCAGTTACTCGTATTATATCATGACAGGAACTAAACATCACTTTCTTTATTTAAAAAAGTCTTAAATTATTTCAATCTTTTTTATTTTCAATAAAGCTTTGTTATTGACTTTATTCTATTTTCAGAATTAAATGCAACTTGACTACTGAGTACTGTCTTCATTTTCTTTATAAAATTTCTTATTAATTTATTTATAATTAGTAATAGAACATAATATTTTGTAATATGAAAAACATTATTCATTTGAGAAAAGGAATTTATTCTTTAATTTTTTAATAAATTTACAAATAATTAAATTACAATAGGATAGATCAGCTCTAAGAAACAATTAAACACTCATCCGTTTTTTTCGACGTTTCGCTGTTATTATTGTCAGTCTCATTAGGAACTAGTAATCACAATTGTCAAAATAATCATTAGAAATTTTCTACTTTATTAATAATCATTTTTTCGTCATATATGTTTTCATTTAATAAATTTAATTTGAAGAATAAAAAATACAAATATACGATGAAACTTACTCTACATATGGAAGAGATTAACAACCTAAATTTTCAATAGACCCTGAAAGTTGACAGAGTTATTTTTCAAATTTTAGTAGATGCATAACGTTGTAATCTTCCACTATATAAATAATGAAAAATAAAGAACAGTAACCGTGATGGCTAATGACTACAATTATGGCATATCGTATGGACTTCCTAAAAAATGTGGCTCGATTATTATGTTGCTTGCATTATATTTATACAATGAATATCATTTGTATTCCTTTCACTTATTGTGATATTAGATTTTTTAATATTTTTGTTTATTGCTTCTTCTTGATTATCTTAGTATTATATCTATAACTGTTTGAAAATATGAAGCTTACAAGTGTATTCCCTGATATGTTACAACGGCCTACATATAAGTCAATCATCACCATGAAAACTGCATAGCATCACTGAATGAAATGTTTACAAACAAGTTAGTAAAGTAGAATACAATTAATCATTATTTAAAAAACTTTTTAGAATATTTATATTTTGGTTCATATAGTTTTCTTACGATCAAAGAGTTCTCCAAATTTTTATGTACAATAATGTTAAACTTTTACAGTATTCATTATTTGCTATAATAAATTAAAATTTTATCCAAGTCTTCTAAAATAAAGATAAATTATTAAGAGAAGTTAATTAAATTAAAACAAAAGTTTCATGTTAAATTAAAATTATCTTTCCACTAAACAAATTGAACAGTGAAACTAATTTTAGTAACCAAAGAGATTTTCAAATTTAATGCAATAAAAGTTACATTACTAGAGATTATGCTGTTGAATATGGTAATGAACAAGTAACACAGTATTTATTCAATAGAGATTGCTAGTTCAATGTTCATGATTCCAATGGAGATATCCCTTTGATTATAACAATTAAAGGAATGCATGAAGTACTTATGGAATATATACAGCTTAATATCTAACACTGATTCTTTATGAACTTTGACTGGCATAGAACACAAATGTAAAATTATACTAAAAACAATATCAATATCAAGAGGCTTAATTGAACATTTATATCTCAACAGATAGCATGAAACATAGTTGGTGTTCACTAGCAAATTTGTAGTATTAAACTGCTCTTGAAATATTAATATTAAAACATATTTTATTTTTACCAATATAATTAAGAATATAGTTATATAAAAAAATAGAACTACTATAAATTTAAAAGATTTGAAATGTCATACATTAAAATTGTGGCGGTTGGCGGGCAACCGGTGCCGCCATCACCTAGGCACGACCGGAGAAGCTGCCAACGCCTGCGCTTTGGGTTGCAGGCTTAGGGGGGCCAGGCTTGGGGAGTACGGGATTGGCACAGAAAGCGAAGCGGCTTAATCCTGCTAATACTGCTAATCCCCGCTAAGCCGACTAGCATCCCTAAGCGGCCTAAGCCTTTGTTGCCGACCTGAGCGACGAGAGGGGGCGGCATTCGACCATCGAGCTGGCTATATAGAGGCGACGAGCCCCGCAGCATCCAGAACGAGTGGTACCGTCGAGCTGGCCTTGCTTGCTGTGTTCCGGCCATCGCTTCTATTAAGCAAGACTTTTGCTTGCGCCGGGTGCAGCAACGCGCTATATCTGCGACACTCTGTCACTGGACGCCCGATCCAACTAACTATACTCCTCTGCGAGAAATAAAGCGCTGACTTCGTCGTAACTCTCTCTCTCTCTCTCTCTCTCATCATCCTCGGCGCCTGCGAGTGTGGCCACACTCTTAACTTTCGCCAAAAAATAATTTACCATGATATTCTTTAATTTGCTTTTTTAAAATTTGAACTAGCCTCTGAAGATTAAATTAATCAATGCGTCTAACTGTTGCTTCAATAAAATGATCTTCAGTTTATTGCTACAGCAGCAAATGTAATTAATTTCAAGAGTTTAAAATAATTTAATTTTACTTGGATTTTTAATGATCCGCTGATTCGCGTAGCAAATAAATATATTTGTATACGGGCAAAAAAAATTAAATTTTTTATGTTTATTTTTTAAACATAAAAAACTTAGTTCTAGTACAAACAATATTATCTTCACGTTACTTGAAGCTTTTGCTATTACCTTTGAAATGGCATAGTTTTTTATTCTACGACTCTTTTTCGTTAAGATATAAAACTTGAAAGTTTGGCAAATTTCGCCTCAGGGTAGGCAAAAGTACGTGTCGGGCACTGTATATCGGTCATTGTGAAACCTGTAATTTAGTTCTTTTTAATCGACGATATCTCCAGTTTAAAAAGTAATAATCATACATATAAATAATTATAGGGAGAGCTGGAGACTAGCCCTTACTGATGTTTATTTCAGATTTGAAAAATAATAAAAAATGGCGATGTTATGGATGCTAAAATATGGCGAATATCCGTGTTTTTCGCACTTTTAGGTTAGAATTACTCAAAAATCTGACGTGGTGGAGTAATTCTGAGCCCGGATTTGAGTTTTTCGCAGAAAATTACTTCGGAAATGACTATCAGCTACTCTATAACAATCACAACTTCATATTTACAGACCTATGTTATTGGAATAGCAAACGATGATATCGGCAATGTGATATGGATTTTGAAAAATTAGTAGAAGTCTAACTGTAAGATAATATTTGCCGAAATTGTATTATTTGCAATAATGAAAATAGTAATTAATAATATTCAGTTTTTTCTGTTACAACAATAAAATCTTATATATAAAAAATATAAGACCATCCATATAGATCTATCCAAAGATACATAAGCTAGACTAATCACCAACGTTTTAACTTTAAAGTAATAACTAAAAAGTTATGAAAATAGGTTTGTTTTATTTTTATACATAAATAGGCTAAAATCAGTTATAAGAAAAGAATCATTTGCTACAACAGAATAATAAACTCGTTTAATTTATACTTTGTTTAGTTAACAAATTATTTACATATTCTGTCGAGAATTTTTCAAAATACATCATCTTATGAGAAGTCAACCAACTGGATTTTCATTAAAAATTACTATAATCCCACGGCTTAAAATTCATTTTAATTCGGTCGACTTATGGTAGCACAACTTGCTACTTAACATTCTTTTCGTTCTGACTCCTTTACATTTTTGGCAAAATAGTCACTTAAACAATTAATACCAATAATACAAATAATTACCAAATTTGTTCATTCTCTTACCCTTAATAATATATAAATTACACTAGTTTTCTTTTTTTCCCAAACTTGAACCTATAAGATGCAACTTTGCTTGTAGTCGTCTTATGATCTCTTTTAGTAAATAGAAACTGGTACTTGAAGCAATTAAGATGCATGCAACGATGAATCCATAGATATCTAGAAGACATGCTTGACACCATGGTATGTCTTCGGTAGGAGATTTAAGCACGTCTTTGCCATATCGATGAACATATTCTATCCAATATATCGCGCTGTTCATCGGTGAAAGAGGTCGATCTTTGAATTGCCGACTTAATTTTTCGATCGAATTTCTAAAATAAACAAAAAACTTTGTCGTTCAAACCAAAAATTAAAAATTAAAATTTTCAATCGGAAAAAATTTTAATTTACTTGTAAAGTGGATTCTTCAATACATCCATTAAAGCGTTAGTTAATCTTGTTTCTGTAATTTCGTGTACGTCGATCTTTATCGCTATGTTCTTTTTGACGTAGTGATTCATATCGAAATGATGGTCGAAAAATAAAGGAAAACCGACCATTGGAATACCGAAATAAATAGCTTCTTGCGTGCCCAGCAAACCTCCATGGGTTACAAAAGCTTTGACATTCTTATGCTCTGTAAATGTCGTTCAAGGTTGTACAGCTGTATAGTGAAAATATTTTTTTGAAACTTACTCAATACTGGCATTTGTTGAAACCAAGACTGAGTGAGAACATTCGACGGTAGTCCGGGTGGTAATTCCGACGAGTTTGTGATTTTCAAGAGTACGCGAAGTGGAGCGATGTTTTGGAAAGATTTGTAAAATACATCGAGGACGTGCTTGGGAAAAGTTTCTATTTTTACCATGGAACCAAGCGCGAAATATACGCAGCCCTCTGTACTTTCGTCTAACCACTTTTTCACGATCTGAAAGTGCATCAACAATTAATGATAATGCAATGATTGAATAGCAATTATTAAAAATTACAATAAGTTTAAAAATATTACTAACCTGTGGCAATGTCTCATTGTGGTCAACAATATGCAATCCAGGTACCGGTACGACTTTAGGTGAAAAAGTCCTGATGCCAAACAACGATGCATCGTAATTTGCCAATACCAACGAGATATCTTTCTGTAAGTCAACAACATTTGGCAATCCTGGACCAAAATACTTTTCAACGTATTTATTCTGAGGATGCGTGTACAATGCGAAGCCAAACTTCAGGCATTCGTGAGTAAGAAGATTGATCAGTCGTTGACAGAACGTCATTGGCGTAGTGAAAGCTGCGTTCGTGCATGGATCCACTGCCAAATTGATTGGCGTCTGGAATCCACTGTATTGCCAAGCGAACAGCGACGGCGTTACGACGCCGATCACGGGTACATTCAAGTGACGCCCAAACGGAATATAACAATGCACGATCGACAACTAAAAATGATCAACGAACTGACACGTTTACAATTGAATTTAACATTTTTTTATTGTTGCACAACTCACCTCTGTGATTACAAGATCATAAGGTGGATCTCTTGGAGGATTGTGAAGCAATTTTTGAAAGTGGGGATGACCCAAAAGTTCGCAAATGGCTTTTTGGCGTGATTCGAACCAATTATTCTTCAAACTGAAAAGATCCGAGGCTGTAGCCACTTCGTAAGTGACATTATTTGATATTGGCGGTAGAGTTCCTTGCAAACTAAAGTCTCGATAGTTTGGCACGGGAGTTGTTAATGGGAAGTGACTGTAGACGTCCACTTGGTAACCTTTTGCAGCTAAACCTCGCATTAGTTGTTCACAGGTGATGAAGTGACTTGACATTTGAAATGGAAATATTCCGAGTATTCGCAATCCATCGCCTTGCCGGGCATTCAAATAAAAAACTATCAAGATCCAAGTTGCACACTTTAAAGATAACAACATTGCGCTATCGCGCCAGAAATCTTGCGATCTGTTCTTGCCACTCAATTAAAATAAAGCGATTTTCCAGACTGGAATCGCGAGCATCGCATCGAAAGACAGGAGACCTTTAGAAAGTCGGAAACGACCACGGAATAATAACATTTGCCGGCATTGTTTTGCAATTGAACGGTTACCGTTGTCTTTGCGCGCGTGATTTTTTCAATTAAACAATGTGACTTTGTGTTTATAAAACCGTTCACGCCGTGTGTTTGGAATAAATGCAGAGGATAATAATGCGATCGTGGCGTCGAATAACCGTATACCATTGGGAGTTATTAAGATCGCGTTGATTAATTAGTTAGCCATTGTATGTAAAAATTTTTTTTGACATTCTGTCCGTACGCGAACCCATGCGCGAAACAATTGCGGCGCAACGCTTACATACGCCAACTCTAGTTTATCGCTCATACGAGGATCAATTAGCTTTATCATACTAGTTACAGAACTCGCTATATATACGTATATTCAATGCTATAGCCAAGAGACACTTGGATATACAGGTGCATTATTACTTGCAAATAAGTTCAAATATTTTTAATTAATTGCATTTTCAATTTATTATCAAAAACATTCGTATTTTCAATTAACATGTTGCACTGACATCTCAGTTTTATTGTTCTTTTCTGACTCATATAATGCTGTTTTGTCGCGGCACTATATAGAGCATATGTATACGAGTTATATGCATTGAAGAATGCTAATGTAATATTTTTTGATTTCACACTAATAAAAGCTTTGGTCAGTTTGCTGCATTCCAATTCCACATAAAACCTTGAACTATTGTACTATCACTAGCGTTTGACATAGTATGTGAACGACCGAGAAGTGTATTATTAGCAAAATTTTATGTTTCTCTCGTTATCAACGCCTTGTTAATATAGTTGGACATAGAAACAAATTGATTTTTTTTATCGCGTTCATATCAAAGTATGCTAAAAGAATGTTTGTATTCTTATGTAACTGGAAGAATAATATTAATAAAAACCTTTATTTCTAAAAACTTGCTATAAATTATTTCCATACTTCGATGTCAGCCTTATCCGTAAAATATAATAACACACACAAGTGTAAGTAAAAGTTTCTTCCCGGCATCAGTTGTCTTTCTTGTTTGTACTTGATTTAATATCTAATTTTTTCGAACATAAATTTCTTAACATTTGAAACAGTTTGATGAAAATATACAGAGCTATCAAAAAGGATCCAGCAATAAAAGCATACACGTCTAAAAGTGATGCTTGCCACCACGGCATATCTTCAATGGACGACTTGAGTGCATTTTTCCCATGACGATGAATATACTCTATCCAATAAATGGCAGTTTCTAATGGTGGCATCGGTCGATCTCGAAATTGTTTACTTAATCGTTGAAGAGACTGTCTATTAAAGTTAAAAAGTATGTTGCTAGTTTTTCTTGCGATAAACGTTAATAGCCGATTATAATAACGCACCTGTAAAGAGGATTTTTCAAAACTTGCTTGATTGCGCAGGTGAACGTCTGCTCGGTTATGTCCTGGAACCCGACAGTGGTAGCTACACCTTTCGCGACGTATTTCTTGATATTCAGAGATTGATCACCTAGCATAGGCACCCCAACCATTGGTATTCCGTAGTATATTGCTTCCTGCGTTCCCATCAAACCACCGTGAGTCACGAAGGCCTTTACGTTTCGGTGTTCTATGCATCGCAATAATCAATTAAACAATGGCGCTGTGCGGAGTTACCCGACAAAATATTAACGTTTGTTTCCTACTTAAAACAGCTATTTGTTGAAACCACGGCCGAGTAAGAACGTTCGAAGGGAGACCGGGGGGTAGCTCTTCCGGCTTGGTAATTTTCAATAGCACCCGCACTGGTTTGACATTCTCGAAGGACTTGTAAAACGCATTGAGTATGTGCCTTGGAAACGTTTCAATCCTGATCATCGATCCAAATGAAAAATAAATGCACCCATCTGTGCTTTCATCGAGCCAGCTTTGAACTGCCTGTTGTCAAAGTTGACATTTTATTCGCAATCAAGGCAGTTCGGAAACAGTGGATACTACCTTCGGCAAACTTTCATTATGATCAACGATATGTAATCCTCCAACAGGTATAACTTTCGGTGCAAATGACTCTATTCCATCGATTGATATGTCATGATTGATGAGAACGAGCGAAACATGTCTTGGCAAATTTATAATACCGGGATAGCCTTCTCCGAAGTATTTTCTTATGTATTTTTCTTGCGGTCGCGTATAGTCATTGTAATTACGTATCGCACGATGATAGTTCAAGTAATTTTCTACGCGTTCAAAAAATAACATCGATTCGCTGTACGCTGAGAACATACTTCTCTGAACCGCTAAATTTTTCGTAGCCCCGAAGCCATCGTATTGATAGTCACATAGAGGTGTTGTTACGATTCCGATTACAGGAATATCTAGGTGTGGTCCGAATGGGATGTAACAGTGCACTATTGACAGCTGACGAACGTATAGGACAGTCACATATTAACCCGTGTAAAATGTTACTATTAACACAGAATATGACATTTTCTTACCTCAGTAATTAGAAGATCGTATGCTGGATCTAGCGGAGGGCTTCGCAGTAATTTTTGAAATAGAGGACTTCCGATTAAGTCGCAAAGACGTTCTTGATCTCGTTTGAACCAATACTTCATCGATACCTCATGGTCGTGCATCTTTGTTATGGAGGCGAAAGATATATTATTTAAAAGTGACGGTATTGATCCTTCTAAACTGTAATCGTAATAATTTTTTATTGGACTTTTCAAAGGAAAATGGCTATAAACGTCGACGTGGTGTCCTTTATTTGCTAACGCTCTCATCAACTCTTCACACATAACAAAGTGACTTTTTACGTTGACGGGAAATAATCCCACTATTCTTAATCCGTAACTGAATTTTATATTAAGAATAAAACATATTAAACACGCGTGCACTATTTCTTTTGAATAATACATTTTTCAATCTTTAATCAAAATATTTTCTTTTTTTGGATAAGTTCACAGTGAAACGGTCTATAAATGTAACTTTGCACCTTTATTTATTGAAAATACCATTCCGTCAACACGCGACAGCTCTATTTCTATGCGTCATTACTGATTAGCGGTTTTCAAACGAGGACGACGCGTCGTATCGCAAACAATTATACGAAAGTGAGACTTTGAATATTTGCAAAATAAAAAAGAATGAACTTTCATTCACTATGGATATCACCTTCGACTGTTTTCAGACAACAAATATAAAAAGAACGTATATGTATACTGTCAAGTAAATTTAGTATGTATTTCAAATACGCAATAATGTAGAATCACTAAAACATTTCAATTTTACCTTCTTTTAAATATTTATTGCAACAGTCGGCTTGTTAATTATAGATAGTGCAATTATTTGTTAAATTATTTTATATTTTTATACTTATAAAAAAATGTAGTACGAAATAATTACACATAAATGTTTCTTTTTATGTTGTTATATAAAAACACTGAGTGTTGTCAACTTTATTACATGTACTCACAAAAATAATAAATAATTTAGACTCAATTTCAATTGATATTCTTTGCCTAAACCGATGTGCAATACATGTTATAAAAATGTAATTCATCATCTATCTAAAGATACAGTACAACTTAAATTCGTAATTAATTTTAATAATAAACATATATCACATAATTTTTAATGAAAAAATAAACCTATCGTAGAAACATGACGCATGAAAAATATAAGTATAATAATGTATTATTGAAATATTCACATTTATCAGTATCATCAGAATTTCTACCTAAATATTTACATTGAGCATAGGTTGAATTCTCACACTTTTAAAAATGAATTAAAACATAGAGATTATCAAATATATCACGATAAATCATTGATTCTTTAATTTAACATTTGCATTGTGGTATACTTTGAATGAAAAAAACTTGATCAATATATAAGTCAACCTATATATTACGTACGAGATGAGAAGTAATAATCCGACAATGAAAGCATACACATCTAAAAGAGAAGCTTCCCACCAGTGCATATCGTCAATAGGTGATTTGAGTGCATCTTTTCCATTCCAATGAATATACTCTACTCAAAATATTGTAGTGTTTATGAGCTATAGAAGACGATCTCTTATTTTCCTACTCAACTTTTGCGCTGATTCCCTATTGATGAAATTCGATATTTTCGTAATTTTCGTTTATCAAAATCACTAGTCTTTACCAAAACTTACCGATAATCATGTAAATGATACAAATAAAATCATGTAAATGGCTTACTCAAATCAGCTATTTGTTGCAACCATGGATGAGTAAAGGCGGGAGTCCTGAAGGTAGCTCTTCTGGTTTCGCGATTTTTCAGAGGACACGAACTGGTGAGGTTGATCGATTTATAGAAAGCTCCGATAATGTATCTTGGAATCGTCTCTATTCTGGCAAACGACCCGCAAGAAAAGTATATGCAGCCATGTTTGCTCTCATCCAGTCATTTTTGAACTATCTAATTAGAGATTGTTATATATATAAAATGATTAATAGCTACAATAGAACGTTGAAAAATGAAAACTGATTTGATTGCTGTTAGAGTTGTAAATACCGACGATGAGGTCTCGTTGTGATTGACAACGTATAAGCCTTCCAAAGTTGACTTTTGGAGCAAAAGACATCATTCCACTAAATGACACATCATGATTGGCAAGCACCAGAAAAAAGTATTTTGGCAAATCGTACATATTCGGTAGCCCAGATCCAAAATATTTCTCGACATACATATGCTAGACCCCAGTAAATTTGATAAAATTATACGCTATACGTTTATAAAGAATCATGTTTCCTAAACGTCTGAAGAATGTCATTAGAGTAGCGTATGAAGAGAATATACTTGAATATGTTGCTAAATTAGCTGAAGTACCGAATCCACCAAAATGCCAATTCATTAGAGGCGGGGTTACCGTGCCAATTATTGGCATATTCAAGTAGAATAAAACAGCGATGAAAAGATCGTAATGCGAATCTTTTGGAGGATCATAAATAAGTTTTTTCATGTACGGGTGTCCTAATCAATTGATGATTGATTCTTAAAAGTGTTCAAACCACTGTATCATCGCTTCTATGGGGTTGGGATCAAACACATCTTCAAAAGTAACATTTTTGGATAGTGCTGATATCATCTCTACTAAACTATAATCGTGATAATTTTGCACTAGTTTTTTTAACGAAAAATGACTGTAAAACATCCACTTGGTGTCCTTTTATTGCTAGTCCCTTGAGAAGTTCTTCACACATGATCAAATGACTTCTCATATTAAATGGAAATATTCCTAAAATTCGCAACCCATCACTTGATTGCACATTCATAAAACTTAGTATTAATACAAACTTTCCCGTTTTTAACAAACGTACCCGTAATATAATATCAGGGAAAAAGCAAGAAATATTAAGTTATATGTGTGACATTTCGTAGCAATACTGAATAATTTTATATTTACGATCGCTGTCCATCTACACCACGAAAGTGTTTTACTGTTTTTTTTTCAAATTTGATTATTTCTATATACAATTACAATAAAATAAAAAAAACTTGCTAATCTATAAAAGTATTTTTGTATGACAAAAACATATATCAAACTTCAAAATGTATCTTCGTTATCATCATTATATACATAAGTAATTTTTACTTACATACTTTTTATAAGAGGTACAAAATACAAATTCGGCTAAAGATATTCTTAAATTTTCGAATCAGAATGACTTATACATGGATTATATAACCTAACTCTATATGTGATGTGAATAAGCATTAAATTATTTTATAGTAAAATTAATAACGTGAAAGAGCTCGTGGCAATTTTTAGTGCAACTATCTACTTATTAGTGCGTTCCGTATAAAACTGCAACACTTTATACGTTCAAGATTAATTTCATAAAAATAAGTAGGCATTTAAGAGATAAGTGCACATTATTAGCACGAAAGTAACAGTGGATATGTTGTGACTTAGCAGCTTTTTCGTGAAAAAATAAAGTGAGTGAGATAATGGTTGTAATAAGCAATAGTTCAAATAATGTTTTATAAAATTTCAGACCGTTTGTGATATGTTATGACTGAACAATTCAAGTGCAAGATTAGTCTCTAACACTCAATTAAAAAATTGACTTTGAAATCCTTATGGGTCGATTAATGTTTATCATTGTTTGATAGATTTACGAAGTATCTTTGAGTAAAGTCTGAGTTCACCAGATCGTTAATTAGGCTTGCCAGATAAAACGAACACATTATACTGCAGAGTCACTCTACAGTTTATAAAACGTCGTATAGCGTGACAAAGTTATGTGAAATTTTATCACTATTACAAAAATTTTCAGTGTAGCAATCGATGACGCTTAAATTAAAAGCCGATGAAACAATAAAAAGTATGAAATAGTAACTTTTTAATAAACCAGGTGAAACTATTTCTTTTATATTCAAGCATTCTTTATGTGTTTCTTATATCATAGTGTGATGTAATGTCTCGGCTCTAGCTTTCGATTTCATATGTTGGTGTATTTACATAGTCCGTGAATTAAAAATTTTTCAACTACTCAAGTTTATGTACCATTTAAATAATTCTATCCTTAGTATTTAACATTTTCACAATTAAAATCATCGCCTTTTATGTTTCAATATTAAACATTCTTTAACGAGATATTGAGGGTCAATCCATAGTCATAATAATTGTGATAATCAACAACTGCCTCGGACATCAATCCTCCCTCGTTCAAGGAATGGCATTAAGTTATTAATTATTTACAATCAAGGATTGGTCCTTAACTTCGATTAAGAATTTTTAATATTTAATATTTTCAAATTACGTGTACCGCTAAAAAATCTCTTAGGAGTAGTTTTGTCAAGTCTAATATAAGCTACAAGCACGTTATATATGTCAATTATACAATTATGAAACTATTACTAGAACTTCCAAATAGTACGTTTCAATTTTTTTATTAATCTGAATAGATAGTATTTTTTTTAATTTCGAATATGTGATCTTGCAAATCGATTGACAGAATAAATATACGCACTAAAATTAACGAAGTAATATTAAAGTGTTCAGAGCAACAATGTTTTAGTGTAGGCATATCAAAATGCATAAAATGTCGAAGGTCAACAAACAATTTTGATTTTGATGAAATACAAATTTATTTAACTTTTAATAATAATATATGTACAATCAAATAACGAAAATATTGTTTTTTGATTATATCCAAGTAATAAAATAATATAACGACCGTCAATTATAATTAAAATTAATTAAACTCTATCAGTTTCCAGTTTATTCTTAAACTAAGGTTTCTCATTCAAAATCTAATAATGAACTTCTAAATAAGGGTGGTAATGGTTCAGATGATAGCTTAATATTACGGTCGACTGTGTAAAAATAGTATGTTTAGTATTGACTGATAAAAATGTAGTGTCTGAAATCATTGATGCTTCTAATATAACATTGTCGATATAGTTAAATTAACAATCATGCAATGGCTGTAAATGAAACAAAAAACCTTTGTCATCAGTTTGGTTTCTTATTAAATTGTTTGAAAAAATTGAACTACATCGTATTTAATCAAGTTAAGCAATTTCAATACTCGGTAAATTACATTATTTATAAATATAGTATTATTCAAATAATATAGTGAAGAAGTTATAAATATAAAGCACAGTATTTACGTCCTAATTTTAAATACTGACAAACCCTATTTCAAAACCACAGGGTATAGAAAAATATTACTAGAACTAGGCATGTCATATATAATTAGAAATAAATTAAATCACGCAGTTCATCAAATATATCACGACAAATCATTGATTCTTTAATTTAATATTTGCATTGTGGTATACTTTGAATGAAAAAAACTTGATCAATATATAAGTCAACCTATATATTACGTACAAGATGAGAAGTAATAATCCGACAATGAAAGCATACACATCTAAAAGAGAAGCTTCCCACCAGTGCATATCGTCAATAGGTGATTTAAGTGCATCTTTTCCATTCCGATGAATATACTCCACCCAAAATATTGCAGTGTCTATAAGCGATAGAGGGCGATCTTTGATTTTTCTACTCAACTTTTGCGCTGATTCCCTGATGATAAAATTCGATATAAAACATACTATTTCCGTAATTTCCGTTAATCAAAATCATTGGTCTTTACGAAAACTTACCGATACTTTGGATTTTTTAGAATGGCGTTTAGAGCATTTGTAAAGGTTGATTCGGTTATGTCAGGCAGGCTAACTTCGATACCTATATTTCTTCTCACATAATTTTTGACATTGAACCATTGATCGCCAAGTAATGGAACTCCAATCATCGGTACTCCAAAACGAATTGCTTCTTGTCCACTCATCAAACCTCCATGCGTCACGAAAGCTTTGATATTTTTATGTTCTGCAAATTTGAATGTATTAACATGCATAGCACTGATATTAAACAATGAACCAAAAATCACGTAAATGACTTACTCAAAACGGCTATTTGTTGCAACCACGGTTGAGTAAAGGCGTTCGACGGGAGTCCTGGAGGTAGCTCCTCTGGTTTCGCGATTTTTAAGAGGGCACGAACTGGTGCGATGTTATCGATCGATTTATAGAAAGCTTCGATAATGTGTCTTGGAAACGTCTCTATTCTGGTGAACGATCCGAAAGAAAAATATATGCAGCCATGTGTGCTCTCATCCAGCCATTTCTGTACCGCCTATTTTGTAAATGCAAAACATGCAATGATTTATAATCATTCACAATTTTCAAATAAAAAAAAGTGCTTCAGCTGAAGTTAGGATTATAAATACCTGGGGCAACGTTTCGTTGCGATCGACTACATGCAAGCCTCCTACAGGTATAACTTTTGGAGCAAAGGGCATCATTCCACTCAGTGACACATCATGGTTTACAAGAACAAGAGAAACGTCTTTTTGCAAATCGTAAACATTCGGTAATCTAGATCCAAAATATTCTTTCACATATTTATCTTGGGCCGACGCATATGTCCTAAAAGTTCGCACCATACGTTCATGAAGAACCACGTTGCCTAAACGCTCAAAGAATGTCATTGGAGCTGCATATGAAGAGAATATACTTGGATCTGTTGCTAAATTTGCAGGAGTACCGAATCCATCAAAATGCCAATCGAGTAGAGGCGGTGTAACCATACCAATCACTGGCACATTTAGGTGGCGACCAAATGGAATGAAACAGTGGGCTATTGAGAGCTAAGATAAAGAACAAATATACCCATGTAACTGAGCTGAATTGCAATTTTATATTTGAAACTATACCTCAGTGATGAAAAGATCGTAAGGCGGATCTCTAGGAGGATTATGGATGAGTTTTTGCATGTATTTGTGTCCAAGTAAACCACACATTGGTTCTTGAATAAATTCGAACCAATGTCTCATCATTTCTACGGCGTCAGCCTTATACGCATCTTCAAAAGTGACATTGTTGGAAAGAGCTGGAATCGTTCCTAATAAGCTAAAGTCATGATAATTTTTTACTGACTCTTTTAGCGGAAAATGACTGTAAACATCAACTTGGTGTCCCTTAGCTGCTAATCCCTTGAGTAGCTCTTCGCACATCACAAAATGACTTCTCATATTGAATGGAAATATTCCTAAAATCCGCAACGCATCACTTCTTTGTGTAATCATAAAAATTAATACCAAGATACAATTTATCACTATTGAAATAGGTGATCGTAACATTGTACCTGGAAAAATACAATTGATAGTTACATTAGACTTATATTAGCTTTGTATATAAATTATTTTATCACAACGTAATGAGTAGAAAAAATTTCCTCTTCATAAATAAAAGTATAGTAATTACTATACTATTGCAAAATACTTTTTTCATATTTCCTGCTGTGTGATGTCTTTGCTCGCTGAAATCCGGTGGCAAAATACTGCATTCCTGGTCATCGACAGAAAGTGTTTTGTATCACAGTGCAACTGCGCTTCTTTTACGGGCGAAGCACTTTCTAACTTTAACAGAAATGCAACAATTGTGCCCGAATTCCGGTGAGCAAAAATCATAAACTTATCCAGCAGGTCTTTTGGTAAGCGGAAAAATCGTATTTGCTATTTCACTCGAAAAAAATTTCGTACATTCCCATCTTTTATTAAAAGAAAGTCTTTCATTTCAAACGTGAGAATATCATTAACTTACGTGATAGCATTGAATTGAATGGCACGGAAGGTTGATGGAACGACCGATCTTCTCAATGGCTCGAATATCAATTCTTGAATATGCAAACATACTTCCATTTATATGATAACTTGCCAAGTAAAGTAAACTAACGTCAAATTACTTTATAGCAAAATACATGACTTGCAAGACTTGATAGGGGATAAGTGCACGTGATTAACACGAAAGTAGCAATCGATTTTTTTTGACTTTTTGGAGAAAAATAGATTGACGATTTAAACAATAGACTAAAGGATTTTGAAATCGTTTCGTCATAATTCTGTAATCCCAATAGATAACATTGGAGATTAAAATTGACTACTAAACTAAAAAAGCTAGGTGCTCTTTATCGTTGTTTGATCAATATTCGTAGTATAACTTGAACATAACTTTAATTAACTATCGAACTTTTTTTTTGTTAGATAACATATCATACTCATTAATACATAGTCATTCTACTGACTAATAAAATTTCCGCAACATAGCGAAGTCATAATGCTATATCAGCAACTCATTAGTATTTGTTATTTTGTCATGATTTCAGTTAAAATGGCAATCAATTATATTTTACTGCAAAATTGATAAAAAGAAATCCATGAAATATAACAGCAGTAACAAATTAATATCTTCTTGGAATAACTTTATAAGTCACATTTTTTGGATAATTAATTTCTTATCAAAATCGACAAGCTCCAACATAAATGATATAACCATTTTTTTCAAATCAAACCATCTATTTAGTTCGATTCAAGCTTGTAATCTCGCAAAAGTTGTTTTACACGTGAAGCCTTATTGATTTGTGTTGAATATTCAAATCTTCTGAACTGATTAAGTTTTCAAACTATTTCGATAAATTTAATTTCAATCTATTTTTACTTATGAAAATGAACACAATGGACCAAATGTTCAAAATGCATTTTTTTGAAATATACTGAGATATAAAAAATTGTTGAATAAAATTCTAATTTAAAATACAGGATAGCGATAGTAAAAATAATGATATTCGATTAATTATATTAGAAAGCTATTGATCGACAAAAAATATTAAAACAAACTTTTGTGTTGAAATTTAAAACATTGTTAAATTCCCGCTATTTTTAATCATGATATTATAAACATATATTTTCTAATTAGAAATATCAATTTTGGTTTAACGAAATATAAATGTATATATTTGACTTCATTATATGAATATATATATATACAATATAGTAGTAATATATACAGTAAAATAGTAAAAATTACGCTATTATTTAATCTAAGTATACGACAAGAAATATGTGATGGTTATCAATTGTTATTAACATTTATTAACCTTTGACCAGTACTGAAAAACTGAATGACATAAAAATCTAAATTTTGATATCAGTAAAGTTACCTTTAGGCGATAGTACTAAATGCTCATACAACGATTTATAATGAGACCTGACGTAAAGATTTATAGTATCGTTTTTTAAACATTTTAGCTAAAAACATAGTCATTACTAATACATATCTCGTATGTTCGTTTTTTAACATTGTTAATTTTACAAATTAATGTAAGACATTTAGGAATTATTCGAAAAAATTGTTGTCAGTTCAACTTCTTGTATGATTTCTCTTAAGCTCGACTAATAAAATTAGGTATCATACAAATCGATAATTGAATTCGAATTCCTTTTATCAAAAATTAACTTATTGTTTTTTTATCTTTTTACATGGTTTTTTTAATATTTCGAATGTCAGATTCATAATTATTTTGACTATTTGTATGCTGACAAATAAAATTACAATTGCAATTCCACAAAGAAAAGCATATATATCTAGAAGTGATTTTTGCCACCATAACAAATCTTCAGAAGGAGATTTAAGAGCATCTTTTCCATGTCGACAAACATATTCAATCCAATATATTGCAGTTTGCATAGGAGTTAACGGATGATCTTTAAACATTATGCTAAACTTTTTCATAGAGTTGCTGTAACAAAATCAGAATATTAATTTTCTTCAAATAGTCGCCACCAAAATATTAATTTTATGAATGCATCATGAAATCATACCGATAAATAGGATTATGTAAAACTTCTTTTAAAGCATGAGTAAACGTTTTTTCCGTGATTTCGGACAGCCATACTTTGACAGCAATTTTTCTTCTAACGTAATTTGCAGAATTGAAACGTTGATCGCCCAATAATGGAACGGCAACCATTGGTACTCCAAAATAAATTGCTTCTTGCCCGCCCATTAATCCTCCGTGGGTCACGAAAACTTTAGTATTCTTGTGCTCTGGAATAATTATGTTCGAGTTGTGACTTTTTAATCAGCTTCACAAAAAATAACGCGCAACTCACTTAATACTGGTACTTGTTGGAACCAAGTTTGAGTAAGTACATTTGAAGGAAGTCCCGGAGGCAATTCTTCTGGATGCGCAATTTTTAAGAGTACGCGTACGGGCTTAATATTCTCGAAAGACTTGTAAAAAGCGTTAAGAATGTGCTTTGGAAACGTTTCTATTCTGGTGAAGGAACCAAACGAGAAATATACGCAGCCATGTGTGCTCTCATCCAGCCATTTTTGCACCACCTGAGGGTAATTTTTTGTTTGTTAGATTAATTATTAGCCATACAGTTATCATTTGGGACAAATTTAATGCCAACTTCGTTCAATGGTTCGTTACGATCTACGACATGTAATCCACCAACCGGTATGACCTTGGGTGCAAACGCTCGTGTCCCAGCTAATGCTACGTCGTGATTAACGAGGACTAACGAAACATCTTTGTGCGCTTCGTAAGCATCTCCATAGCCAGGTCCAAAGTACTTTTCCACGTATTTATCTTGAACTGTCGCTACTTGATAAAACATATGAATCATACGGTAGTGGCCTATAAAGTTATCCAACCGTTGCCAAAATGTCATCGGTGGATGATAGAAACTCATGGTTGTTGGTTCCATAGCCAAATTGATCGGAGTTCCGAAAGGTTCGTATTGCCAGTCCAACATTGATAACGTCACGACGCCAACTATTGGTATGTTCAAGTGACGTCCAAATGCATTGTAACAATGGACTATCGAAAGCTATAAAAATAGAGTTGCCGTTAGACTTTGCCAAACTGGAATAGAGTCGCATTGAGCAACGGGTTATTGATTAAAACAAGTTCAATTACAAATTGCATTATTTTATACGTACTCTTTGATTATGAAAACTTGACTGCATAAATGAGTAAATAAAAAAATTTTAAAACCTGAGTCTTAGATAATAGCTTTCTTTAAAAACTATATCGATAATCTAACGTAAAATCTCTATTCACATTGAACTGAAATATCGCGCTATGGCAATGCCAATTTCATCTTGTGCATCCAGTAGCTAATGAACATATGATGCAAATAGGACTTGTTTTTACGCTCAGAAAAATTTAAAACGCAAGCGAGAAAATTGCAAATTTCCCTGGGAGATACTTTTAATCAACTTTTTATGCTAAAATAATGTAGGTGAGTACTTGCTACTTGCCTCAGTAATTATCACATCGTATGGTGGGTCCTTTGGCGGGTTATGAATTAACTTTTGGAAAATTGGGTGGCCCAATAGTTGGCAAATATCATGTTGAGTACTACCTATCCAAAATCTCATTGTGTCAACTCCGTCAGCTTTGCTAGCTTCTTCGAAAGACACATTGTTAGATACAGTTCTTATCAAGCCTTTCAAACTAAAATCCGTTAAATTTGGCTCAGGCTTCTTTAGCGGATAATGACCGTAGACGTCAACTTGATGACCTTTAGCGGCCAAGCCTCGGAATAATTCTTCACACATAACATGATGACTCCTCATTTGAAATGCATGTATCCCTAAAACTCGCAGTCCATGACTGGTTTGAATGTTGTGATTTAACAATATTACTAGGAACAATACCGTTCTTCTCGTCATTGGTTGCGACATCTCGAGACCTGTCGGAAAATTATACTTTTCTTAATAATTACAATAAAAATGTTAGTGAAATCAGCAAATGAAAAGAAATGGCAACGTGCAAAATTAAAATGAATATGGCTTACTTAAAATTAAGAAAAAGCGGAAAGGTTACATTATTTTCATCTTTTAATTTATTTCCTTATTACAAAAAAGCTATCTTTTAATTATTTTATGAAACTCGTATTATAAAGGTATTTCGAAAATTTAAATGTAATATTTTATTTATTCGATATGTTTTATAAATGAAACATTCAATCATTCTTAAAGTACTCTGTAAACATTTTATTAGTGCAGATGAACAAGATTGTATTAATTAATTTTGCATGTTTTCTCCTCGCGATTGAAGAATGTATTGTGTTTTCCTAGATTTTCACGGATTTTAAGGCACGAAGAGTGATAAAAACTAATAGGCAAACTGATATTGAAATAAAGTTTTTTCTCTAATTATATTAATGTCTCCTCCATTGTATACGTTTGTAAAGAGCTGTCTAGAAATTTAATGCCATCAATGATCATTTTTCGCATCTATTGAAATGTACTATTATTGTAACACTGTTTATTTGTTTATTGGCGAGTACATTAAGCCTACAATTAATTGTAGTATTTTTATCTAAGTGCAGTGTCTCTTTTCAATGTGTAGTTTGAACGAGCTCTTACAAATTTCATCTATAGCAATATTACGACATTAAATTAACTTGATCTATGCACTGTCAGCTTCGCAATTAGAAACCATGCGCGAGCTGGACACGCAAAGTCTCAATAAAAAATATTTAGGCTGAGGCCATTCCAAAATAGTATTTTTATTGGCCATCGAGCTATCACTTTTATACTTTTTGCAATATAGCTGTCTATCACATCGGAATACGGTATTAAGAAAAAATTTAATTTTTGAGAAATTTACTGCTAATTGAGCGATGATACGTTACGTAATTTCCGTATTTGGTGCAACTATTCGCTGCAACGTTCATCGGTGACCGATAACTATGATATGTAAACAATTATTGCAGTTCTAGCGATAAGCGTACAAGAGTGAAGTTACATGTAGATTCGCACGTTGGGCACAAAGCACGCATTTTAGTATCAATATCTTATCTCGCCAATAGTGTAAAACACTTGTTACAACTAGATTAATGAAACTTCCATTAGAGCAAATTGTTTATCCTTTTTTATATCATTAAGTTATCAATTGCAATTTGCTGTAAGCAGATTCACTTTGTCAATTGAAGTTCGCGCCGATTAATCTTACAGTTCAGCACGAGTAAATATTCAAATAATTTAATTTATCCTAAAGTTTATTACAAAGATACAAACGTAATATTAAAAGAACTTTATCTCGCTTTTTTAAGCTATAGTAAAAGTTAACAAAGTAGGTTATTAAAAATTTGGAACGGCGGTGACAGATAAGACTATCACGTTAACTGAGATCGTGCTAAAAGTGCAGGCACATTCTAATTTCTTTTTATCGAGTGTCCAACCTAATTATCAATGCGCTGCACGATAAGACGATCTATTGCTACGACCGTCCACGGATATAATTAATTTTTCACGGATTAAGATATATCGAGTATTATAAACCTAACTTTTCAAATCCAATAACACTATTTGTGTATTGAATCTTTCTCACCAGTCAGTTTTATTTGTTCTATGAAAATGTTTGTAGCATCTAGTCTTTAATTTCTTTTGAAAAGTAATTGTGAATATTAAAAAAGTGGATTGAGGACAGACATCATTCCAGAAGTTATGAGCTTTGCTTTCGAAATTGACATATGAATTTATCGTCGACTTTGTAGCTATAGCTTAGTTGATTAAATTGGTTGGTAAAAAGTTTCCCGGTAGTCAAGAAAATGATACCTGTACTCATTAAATATGAACGTGTGACACCCGCGTTTCAGAGTTGATCATAAGAATGAAAAAAGAATTCTTGTAAATATAAGTATATCATGATTTTAATCGATTTAGCAGAAGGAAGAATAACATATTGTCAAAAGAAGATCTGGTAAACCATACCTACGCGTTCAAAAGCTCAGTCGGCATGAATTTTTCATTCATTCAAAACGAATAGTAAAGCTCGTAGAAACGTAAAAATGTTCACAGTATAATGTGAACATTTTTATCGTTAGACAATCTTTCTCACAGGTCTGTTAGTCTCCTTGTTAGACTTGCACATTGAAAGTATCCACTTATACAAAACAGTACCCAACCAACTATTTCACGCATCCCTCTTCCGAGCATGGAGCGATTCTTCAAATTTCCAAAAGTACGTAACTTGAATTAAACAACCATTCTAGTAATCATGAGAAACAACCGAATAATGGATCATTGTAACATGTCATAACAAGGGTATCCAACCGTGACAACAGTTAGGAAATAATAGTTCCATTTACTAAACTGCGTCAACGGTAAATGACTTGCCGAAATAAAAAATAATAAGTACAAAATAATCACACAACGAATGGACATTACTAAGTCATTGCTGGCATTTAGGCAAATGATTGTTATTGATCATCAAATTATCTTGTGATAACAGATTCTTAATAGCAGATGATCGTTCATTTTACTAAACCACGTCAAAGATTTTTTCATTGAACAATAGCAACAAGTTGTAATAATGATTATAGTTATAATCATTTTTTTGACAATACCATGTTGTCAATAGTGTATCGTTATTACGCCTGGCCCGCATACGGATTTTTGATTTCTGATTTTTTTCAATAATTGTTACGCATAAACTCGTAGGCAATTTTATGTCTCTGTTACCGGCTACCCAGCATGAAAACGTGTACTTTCGAACGCTCTCTCTCTCTCTCTCTTTCTCTCTTTCTCTCTCTCGAAAAATATGACACACACAACGTGCGAAGATTCAGGAAAAAATGTATACTTACGTGGACACTCAGTCCTTGCGGCTTCCTCAACTGCGTATTGTTACTCAGAGAGGTCGGCGACGTCACAGCCTTGTAGGAACTTGTCTAGCGCGTCTTCGCAGTCTCCGAACGCGCTGCTGAGAGCTGCAACTACGTGTGACGGCCTACCAACGAAAAGTGCTTCGTTCTTGTTTGCCGATTATCTCAATTGCACAAGTCCCCACCTAATACACTGCGCGCGATATGACTCTCTCTCGTCAATCGACGCAGAAGATAAAAACATTTATCTTCTGCGTCGATTGATTATCACAATAATTCAAATTATTAACTAATCGACATTCTTGAGATCGTTAACTCAACTTCCAAGAGCTCAGACAAATTTTCACCGATTAATCTACCACGGATAATACAGTTAAAAGTTTTTTTTAGATTGAAAGATCGTTGATCACACACCATATATTATAGTTTATGGATTTATTTTTGAACGATTTTTAAAATTCGATAAGGGAATGCACATGAATTAAATTTATGAAATTTATTTCAAATTAAATTTTCATTAAACTTGCTTATTAGTGAACAAATAAAATAGGTTTAATTTTATATTATAATTCATTAAATATGTTTTCTGTTGAAACAGTAAAATTATATTAATGTAACATTTACTATGTAAAATCAATTTAAAAGAATACTCAACATTTATAAATTTAACTTATAGTACTAAATCACAATAGAAATTGTAGTGTTAAAAATTGCAGCGTCTAATACAATTTCGGAGTTTATAATTATTGTTAGGCAAGCAGAATTCAGGCTACAAAAAAAATTACCGGTGTCTTTTCTTTTTACGATACTGATTATTTATACGAATTTTTAAACGAAATTATCAAAAAATTTATCAAAGAAAGAGGTAAGTTGATAATGTATATGCCATTGTATTTGTCAGTCTCTATTATGTTAGTGCATTATCATTATAAACAATCACATCTTGACGAGCAATACTTTTGTGTAGTTCATTCGGCAGTCATTTATTCACATTTTTTTTTTACATTTGTAGCACCTACAAACTAAACATTCAAGGCTGCTTTGGCTTGAGGTAGAACGGCGTTCAGCATTTCTCCTCGAAATGTCATAGTTTATAATATACAAACAACATAGAGTCTGGCGCAAAATGGTATAAAGGTGGTTGACTTGTTTTTTCCTGTAGAATCGATTGACAGAATCGATTTTTTGAAATTGCGAATTTTTTGACAATTCGTTTAAATAATTGGATTATGAACAATTGGAATAGCAAGAAGAAAAAAACACAGGTAAATCTTTTTTTTCGTTTGAACAGTAATCTAATAGTCGGTTTGCTGCTGTTTAGCCTGGATTCCATTCGACTAACAATGGTTCGAACGATTGATAATGTCGATTCACAAGATAAATAAAATCGATATTTAAGCAACTTTCATAGCGAAGCGTCGTGGAAGTGAATTATTATGCCAAGTGAATCTGAATGAATTGTATTGCTTTTTGTCCCCATGCGGTTTTTGGTCCAGGTTTTTGCCTGCCGTTCTTTTTGATGGCTAGCCACCATCCATCCGCCGCGTACTTGTGCGATCGAAACGCGTCGTAATTGCCGATATTCCACTGCTCCCATTCGGTATTATCCTTGTCCTTTCTCATCTAAAACATTTGGTTAGCCATGAGCATCTCGTTATTTGCCCGAGAGATGAAACTAGAAATTATTATTAAAGTCGTGATTTAGCTAGCGACCTCGCCGTACAAATGTCCAGTCGCGTTGAAAGCCAAGTAATGTCCAGTTTCGGCACTCTGCAATCGCACTACTCCGTTAGATACAGGACAAACGATCAGCCGTACTGCAATATTAATCATTCCAAGCCGATTAACTTTTCTAATAAATTTGGACAACGCGTTATAGGCAAATAAAAGTCGCTCGACAGATTACCATAGGCATCATCGCTACTTTCAGCGGCAAACCCCTTGACCCGTCCCGACGGTGTGACTCCAATGTAGTGAGCAGTTCGACTGAAGAGCTTTAATTTTAGCGATTGATGGACTGGATTGTTAAGCCTTCGCTCTGCCTCGCACGGAACACACGGTGGCTCCGTTGTTTCCTCGGGCTGCTCGGCTTTCAATTGACGATTGCTAAACAATCATCGCCTTGTCAACATTTGTATTTTTCGATGATCAATGGAGCTTGGATGCACCTTACGCATTCGCATGAGATCTATTGGCCTTCGGAATGCCGCGAGCGTTAACTTAATTGGCCTTGACAATTAACGAGCGTAATAAGGAATATTGAGCGAGCCGCATTTTGACGGCCGTATAAAGCAATTCGAGGGCGCTTGCGGCCAGAAAATTCCGAAAGAAAAAAATATTCGACATCGACCTCTCGTTCAGGAGGGAAACGCCGATTACCGATCTGATCCAGCCGCAAGCACGACTCTAGCGACGCGGGTGCGATTGTCGCAGCTGTCGTTTCCGTCGTCGAATATTTCGAGAGGCTTTCAACCGCGCCGCGCGTCGATATTATTCTCGCTCGCCGCGCCACATGCCGCCTGTACTCTCGTCGTAATCTCGTCGCGAGGAGGCGGCGGAAGAGAAAAAAAGATGCCGCCCGTGTATATTGGACTGAACTGCACTAAAATTAGCTCCGGCGTTCCAGTTCGTTTTTCCCGCGCTCCTTGGCTAACGGGCGATACGCCGCTCGCTGGTTCTCCGGCCGATCCAAGGCCACGTGACTTGCGTATAACTGCTTTTTATTTTTTTTTCCCCTCTCCTCGCTCTCGTTGCAGCTATCTCTGCCTTTTTTTTCCCTTCGTTATCCTGTCAATGTGTATTTATAGCTTTCATACGTCCGGCGCTGTACGCGCGTTAGCAAGGAATTCCTTGGCCAGAGCTTGCTGCAATAATAATTGAACTACTTCGATTGAAAGGCCTGCGATAGGTTACGCTGAAACTGGCAGAGGAGACAATTTTTACAAACTTATTTTTTCTTTCTATTTTCATCCATACTGATTCTGCTTTATTGGAAATAGCGTCGCAACGAGCAGGACGTTATAGAAGAGCTACCTCGCGTCACCTTCATCGCGCCGTCACAGCAATTACCTCGCGTGTTCAATGTCAAACCTATAGCGTTAACAATGTGGACGAGCGTCGGCCCATCGAAATCATAATAGAAAAAGCTCGAGGATCCGTTGGTGATATCGCGGGAAATTAATCGCGAAAGAAAAAAAAAAGCATTATAGCCGTTTTACTCCACTCGAATTACTCTACGGAGCATAACGGAAGGCGAAAGCTCGCGAGTGTACCGTGCACGTCAGCGCTTTTTACGCTGCGAGCCAGAGAGATAAAGCGGCGTTTCCTTTCCGTTCGAGAGGCGCTTAATGAAGTGGAACGAAATTCGCTTACTCGAAGACACACTTCCAATTGTCAAGTGCGTCGTAGCGTGTTTCCTCGTTTCCCTTTTCGGTAGTTTCTTGACAAATGTCGAACTGGCAGAGTTGCGTTGGAGATAGACGTAGCGTCATCGGCAAAGCACGCTATTGCGTACCAATCGACGATTGAATCGCGCGTCATTGCTTTCGGTCGCGAACGACGTCTTATTCGGAAACGAATGTCAATTGCATTCCGATTATTACTGGGATATGCTCGCGGTAATAACCGTCGCTCGCGAAAAGTACAAAAACATAGCCGAGTTAGAAAATTGTAAATTTACCGGAGTTGGTCGATGCTGGGAACGGCAGCGTGATGACGTCGAGTCTCGCGTTTGGCTCTTTCCGCATCGCTGTAATTATTGTTGGCACTGTCGTTCGGCATGGCGTCCGAATCGTAGCTGTCGTCGCTGCAGCTGTCGTCGATGTCGCTGCATTCCTCGTCTACGTTCGGCGGCTCCAGGTTCTCGTAGATCCAGCGCAAACTCATTGTTGGTCTGCGCGCCAAGCGATCAGGATGGGAGTGCGACGAGTCGCCGTTGAATGCGTCGTCGACTCGCGAGTTATCGAAAAGCCGCGCGGCTTCGAAGGCCCGTCGAGGCCCATGCGTCTGCAAGGAAGTGACTCGTAACGGTAACGTCTCGCTTGCTCTGCTTCCAAAGCTGTCGATTTCGCTTTAACGAGCTTGGCGACGTCGGCAAAAAACAGCTGGAGTACACGCGACACGCCGCTGTGACGAGCCGGACGCGTGCCTTCTAGTGCCTTCGCTTAAATTTCGTTCTCGCAAATATTGTATTTCAATTACCTCGCGTTCGCTTACTGCGCGTCGACGTGACTTTTACGCGCAAATAACGTATGGTTGGTAAAAGCCCATAGAAACTTCTTGTCGAAAGCCGGCTTCAATTTGAAAAGTCAACAAAACGCAATGCTAAGAACTCGCAGTTTTATTACACTCGCGTCAATCGTAAATAACAAGCAGTTTTCACTCGAACAATTTCACGAAAGTCACGCGATCCGCGCGAAATAAGTTTTTCTTCTTTTAAAGAAATGTTTACGAAACTCGCGAGCGAACCGTGCCTTCTTTTTTCAACGTTCGTTTCTCGTAAGCGATTTCTATCGGGCCGACGCCGCAAGAACCAAACTCTTTCGTCACTCATCTCTCGCCAGATCTCATCAAACTTCTTGCCCGTGAAAGTCCGCTGGATAAGATAAAAAATTAGTTGCTCTCACCTCGACTACGCGAGATATGCTCTCTCTCTCTCTCTCTCTCTCGTGCAATTTGATATCGCGCGAAATAGTGAAAAAGAGCCGATCTTGTGCCTGACTACGCGATGCGGCCTGCGCGACGTGTGTGCCGCGACTGATGCCCGTACTGCTAAGCTATGTAGCGGAGCCGCGCGAATAATAGAGAGGCTTTCTCTCGCGCCTACGCGCCTCTAACACTGCCTCCCGGGTTCCCTTTTCTTTCGCTGGCTTGTCGATTAGGCGATCATCAAGTTTTCACGGTGTCGATGACGACGACGACAATGAGATGAAAAATCATAGAGAGCGCCATTGAGAAATAAACGTAGATGTGAGTCAGGATAATATTTAATTTCCTACGTGATATTTGCTTCACCAGCCATTCAATTTTTAATGTATCTAAATGTTGACTTGAAAAACTGAGTTATTCTTGTCCAAATAAAATTTTACATTCTAAAATCTCAAAATAGCTTACTCGGGGAAATTTTTAAATGCAGATTAATTTATAATGTAAGGTAGTTTGAATATCAGCAGAAGCAGTATTTTCAAAAATATTTTATGACTTTCACAAATGCATTAATATATTCCGTTATATAAAGTGACCATTGTGGAAACAACAGTCACGCAAATATACACACTCGTTCATTAACAAGTTTCACATTAATTTCTTTGTCTGCAGCAAGCGCCAGGATGCACGAACTGATTTCCATAACATTCTCATATCGAGGCCACAAAGCAACCGAGTTTTCAGATTTACAATGTAATATGTACAAGTGGATTAGCGGCGAGGCCTAGTTTCAATTAGCCGGACAAACGCCTTTCAATTGCACGACGTAGGAATAACAAGCCGATAATCCTACTAAAGCCCGAAGTTACTCAACCAAGTATAGAATGTAATGTAGAATATTGATCAGACATTTATAGTATAATCAATAATTACTAAAAGTAAAAATAAGAAAATAACTTTTTATACTGACTGGTTTAATAAAATCTTATGTTAGGTATGTGGAGGAGTTTATTTGATGTATAGACGAATAACCAGGTTTTAATAAACATTTATTTACTCATGAATATAAAATTACACTTTTATGCGATAGATGAAACACGTATTATACAATATTTCACATGTGTAATTATATCAATCTTGAAGATGATGTCTTCATGACGTAAAACGAATAACCGAGTGAATCATCATCATCATCGCACAAATTAAAGAAAAAAAGAGTTAGAAGAGAGCAGAAAATAAAAACGATAAAATGAACTTTATTTTCATGCCGCATAACACATAATTAGGTGTATGTGTCACTTTGTTACAAGATAGAAATACAATGAAATTAACGACTTGATTGTCCACAGTACATATTATTGTATGTATGCAATGCACGGCATCAATAAAGTACCTTACATTTATTAATTATTAGTTTATAATTAAAAAAATAAAGAGGGCGGAGTGAGCCTAGGCACGATTGGTTTTACTCTGGATTAACAAATTATTAACAAAGAAGCTCGTCTACCCACGTTTCATTTCCTTCTCTACTTATCAAATACAGAAATCTCTCAAACGATCGATTATTATTATCAATCTTTAATTAAATTTACTTAAATTATCACATATGATACATAATGTACACTCTTTCTCATCCCAAAACGACAAAAAAAGAAAGTAGCAATGATTGCGTTGGTACTCTTCGATAAATGTCACTTTGTATTCGACATTAAGCATGCATCGAATTGTACTTTTGCAAAAGCTACAGCGACACTCCATTTTTCAGCTTACGAGCTATCTGCTAATTACATAAATACACGCTATTTACATAATGTCTTGTGGCTGTATGTATGTGAGAGAGTACGTGTGTGTTAGTATAGTATCTCATTGCGTAAGTCGCCTCCTGCATTGTTTCCGATATGTACTAGCTGTAAAATTGGCTGCGTTGGGTTCAAGAGAGACTCCGGCTCTTTTGTCTTCTTTACACTGTCTAGCACGAATCGTCTACCTCGAGCAGGACCGAGTAGTGCGAATTGAAAATACGGGCGCTCTGCTAAAACTTGTGAAAATATAGCCGAAGCGCGCTATATATTCAAGTTAGTCAGCTTGAATGTCCGCTTCAATGTTTTATCCAAATGTGCTCGATCGCTATTCATACACAGCTAAATTTGACACCTGTAACAAAGTTAACGTATATTTTAACGTTCACATTATTTTTTTATGCTACATCAATTTTATATACTAAGTCAATTTTTGATTTGTATTTCATTTTTATATTAAAACTTGTCAAGAAATTTTAACATCTATAATTACTTTGTACCACATACGTAGAAGACATTCTGAAATTCTTAAAATTTATAGCTGTTTTATTATTTATTTTCGTACTTTGGAAAATATTCGTGAAAGAATTGTTCTGCAATAGAAGCGTCAATCTTTTATGTTAAAGTCATCATCAAAATTACAAAACAAAATAAATATCAAATGTTAAACTTGTAATATATTTCTAAGAATTGATTGACATCAATCTCGATTAATAGGGCAACTTTAACTGAATACATTCATAGTTCTCGTGGGCTAACTGCTAGCAAATAATATAATAATCATACTATTATGCAAATTTTTCAGTGATGTCATCGCCGTTAATTAACGTTACAATTTAGAAAAAAATCTGCATAAAGTATACCATCGTCGCTGGAGTAGCAGTTGTGACAGTGAAGCTTGTGATTGCGCACACGCACATCCGTGCCCATAAGACCGTCCCCGAGTCTCACGTGGCAAACGCAGCACTTGAAGCACTCCATGTGGTAGAATAGCCGAAGGCTCTCAATTATCATCGCCGCGCCTCGTCCTGCAACAATATTGAATAATTCACGTTATTCGGATTCTCGGAACAATTACGTTTGAAAATATTAACTGAACTAAAGCTGGTTGTTTGAAATAATTACGGATTTTGAAAGAACGAGTTGATATATTGCATAAAGTCGAATTTGACTATAATTCTGATAAAAATGTTTTTTATAATTGCAATTCCAAAGTATTGACGAGTTTCAAATAGCATACCTAATTCATCTCCGCAATGCGAGCACTTTTTCTTTCCACTGACACTAAGCATTTTTTCTTGCGTATCAGAGCTGTTGTTGTTATTATGGTTATTATTATTATTATTATTATTATTTAGTGACTGATGCACTTTGTGCTGTGGCACTTGATAATGTTGAGATGTGTGCAAATGTTCTTGACTGGCACTATGCTCTAACCTGTAAAAAATGAAACGTGTTTCAATGAAACTTATATACATAAAATTTCAATTTATTTACATTATATTACAATACTGTTTGATCGCAAAGTATACCTTCGTCTAGGTGATAACGGTTTTTCTTGTACCCTATTTTGGACCCTCTGTGTGAGTGTTTGAATAATAGAGTCTGGTAGTGGTTTATTATCTGGTCTAGGTGGTGACGCTGTATATGGTACTGAAGTACCCGTCATATGTGGCTTTCGCACTGATGGCAAGCGCTGATTTTTTTCATTGATTCTTCTCTGTTCTGCTTCCTAAAATATTGAATTGACAAGTAAATACACAATTTTTTTTTTGGCTAGAAATATGACAAATATAAAACCCACCTGAATAAGCCAGTGTTGGTAATTATAATCATAAGCACCACGTGGAATATCGCTCTTACGGCGCTGCACCCATTGGTCACCTTGAACAATCCTAGGCCGTGGCGCGGCTGACAGAGCTTGCAAGGTTTGTCTACTCATCTGCTGGCCGTGTTGATGCTGCTGTGATTGACCGTTTATTGCGTTGGACGAACAACTATTTTTAAGCGGCGCCTCGATTTGCTGCGGTATCGAATCCGCAGAGGGGATACGACTGTTTCTGTGAATTAAACGGTAAAATGAGTTTGTAATTGTACAAGGAGAATAAAACCGCAGCGGATCGAATCCGCGAGATTACTACTCTGACGAGTGTTGTGTAATGAGGCGTTCTGACGTTAATTGTATTTCAATTTGTTCTTAACATGTGTACTCTTTGCTTTCATTAAATATATGTACGTTAAAATTGATTAAAGTATGTTTTGCTTGTTTGCACAAAGTTGGGAAATGTTCGCAATGAAAAATATTTAAATTACATTTTACTACCTGATACTGATATATTAAATAAAGTTTTCAACTTCGAGGAAAAAAACAATTACCTAATTGTAACGTCACGTTGTCTCTGTTCTACCAGTCTTAGTGGTTTGGCAGGTGGAATCGGTGGTGGCGGTGGTCTTCGTCTTTGTCCAATCACCGTGTCTTGCATTTGCAAGTTCGGCATTGAGGCTCTGTAGTTCAGCGGAGCATTTATTTGAGGCTTGATATTAACGTAATTTTGGGACTGGCGGGGTTGAACTGGTGGTACTTGAGCTACATCTTGCAGTGATTTCCATTGTTCTTGAAGTTGTTCAGCAAGCTGTTGTTGCTTCTGTTCACGATAAGCTAAGTTGCTACGCTGGCGTTTGAGTTCCTCTTGTTCAAGTTGAAGGAGCTCGCGCTCCACTCGTAATACTTCCTGCTGTTGAAAAAATAAACATATAATTAATAATATTATTAAGACGTTCTTCTCGTACAGATCAATTTCAACATTTGAAAGATACAAAGTCCAAATTTTAGATCGATATGTATTTCTGCTTTTCATTTTTTCCTGAACAAATCCAACAAATGTTGTAAAGAATAGGTAGAAAAAAATGTATTTCGATAATTTCATCGCCGTTGATCTCATTTTCTTTCGAATGTCAAGTAATTCACTACTTCTTAGTGCAAAATATTCCTCATTAAACGTCAATCATAACAATGACTACAAGAAAAAGTTTCATGGTGATCGTAAGAAAGATACCAACTAGATGACAAGAAAAAAGTTCACACCTTAATTACTTTGATACGAGTTAGCAAATCTTCTTTTTAATTTTTCGTCATTTGTACATCAAGATTCCCTTAAGTATTTTCTCTTGAGTCTATTAGGTTGCTTTAATTTACTTGTAAATAGAGATAAATGTACGTTATAAAGATCAACATGACAACGCAATCTGACAGTAGAGTAATTTATCAAAATACAAATCGCATATCATCAATCTACTGAGCTTTAGAGTTTGAAATGCTGTAACCATTTAGACTTATCTGCAATTCTACATACCAAATAACAATCAGTTTCATCAGATAGCAATTAGATTTTTACAAAAAGATTTTTTCGAAAGTCATCTTCTGATATGTTTACTTTCAATCTTATCGAAAAAAAAATCGTATGGCTTAAAAAAAATAAAGAGAAAAACGTACTCTCGAGGTGTACTCTTCCTCGTTGCAGGTAAGAACAGGGCTAGCCGGCTTGGCCTCCTGTTTGTTCTTCTCCTGCCTCAATCGTTCCCTTTCCCTCTGTACTCTAATCGCCTCCTGTATCTTAGCTTGCTCCTCTTGCTCCTCCTGTCGTTTCTTCTCCTCTTGCTCATCTTGCATCCTCGTCAATTCCTCTTGCTTCCTCAGATTCTCCTCATTCATCCTCAGTGTCTTGGCCGAGCGTCTCTTGCTATCTCCTGCCTCCTCTCGTTCGCGTTCTAATTGCATCTTCTCCTCTTCGAGTTCTCGTAGTTTGTGCGCGAGTTTTTCGCCGATGTCGCTGTTCTCGCGGTTGTTCTCGTAGCGCCATTGCTCCTCGCGCTCGAGTACCTCGATTATCTCGCGCTCTTTCTTAGTGATCTCGTCTTCCTCGGACGACGTGACAGATGCACCGAAAGGCTCGCTACTTTGGCGGCTATGCTGCGACATGTCCGGACTGACTGGCTGCTTGGTCCAGTCTTCGGCTTGGCCCAACTCCACGCCAGAGTCGCGCTCATGGCTTGAATCTTGCTCGTAGTTGCTGTCGGTGTCGTAAGAACGGCGATGAAGTTGCTCGATACGACGCTCTTCCGCCAGAATTGCCGCGATATCAGGGGGCTTGGACAGAGTGAGCTCGCGCTCAATGTCATCATCGTTGATCTGTAAAAGTCAAATTACATTACAGTAATTTGTTATGAAAAATGTACTTTGTACACAATTGTTGTGGAAAAAAGCAAACGATTGCTTAATCGACCAACCAAGTTGAATTCAAGCATCGTTTCGTCAGTGCAAGAAAAAATGTTCCACTTACTCCTTCGATACCCAAGAAATCCGAGCGCCGACTGCGCAATTCCTTTTTGATTCTGCGGGTAGAATTGAGTCTTTTAAGTGGCTCTATCGGGTGATTCTCCTCGTCACTGAGATCCACAGGTGGCGGTGGTGGTTTTTCCTTGGGTGGCTCAACGCTCGTCGGCGGTCCCAATGGGAATGCGAGGTTGCTGACAATCTCTTCGTCGCTTGAGAAGCTTAGCGGCAAAATCTGCAAGAAAATTGATTTGTGAGACGCGCGTTGAGATTCGATATCTGAAATGCAAGATCTCGCCGGCCTATTGTTCGGTATTCTCAAAAAATGCAAGAGATCTTTAAATTTTAGATTTTCAATATTTATTCATGGCAAGACGCGATTGTTCCGCGCGCACAATCTTTACGAAGGACTCTATTAAAAACAGCGCTGCAATCACGAATGGAAAATGAGTAGTTTTTGCAAAGACGAAAACAATAAAATGTGTAGTATTTTACAGAGCGTATAAGATAAGAATGCGCGAACCAATACAAAAGGCGATTCCCCACGGTATAATCTCGCGGCAATCAAATCCAAGGCGGTGGGCACTGGAGCAAGCACGGCAGCAACGGCAGCAACGGCAGCGCGCGCAAAAGAACCGTAATCGTATAGCCATATCGGTTTATCTGGAATCTGAACTCACCTGCTTGGAGACGGGCGATAACGGACTGAGGAAGTCAGAGCACAAACTTGCGCACTCGAGGTCGAGGGTCGTCGGGCGAATCGCAGCTGGGGACGCTGATGCTGGTAGTTCTTGAGCCTTCACGACTTCTTGCACCAGCAATGCCGACTCCATGATCGTTGGCTCTTGCTTTTCCAGCTGCTGTTGCTGTAGTTGTTGTGGCTTTTCTAGCATATCACCATCTTCTTCTTCTTCTTCTTCTTCCTCCTCTTCTTCTTCTTCCTCGCGCTCGTCAACGTCCTCCTCCTCTTCCTCCTCTTCGAGTGGCTGATCTTCGTCGACTGAGACTGACTGAGGCAGCAACTCCTCCTCGAGCGTCGGCTGTTGCAGCGGCAATGAAAAGCAAAAAAAAAACAGAGCGTTGTAGTACTGTAATTCCGCATGAGCTGCGCGCAAAATTTTCGCTATGCCACATTCTATGCAAATCCGCAGCCGCGCAACTCAACGCGTCGCGCTCTATCGCTTCCACAGCATGCGAGCTTTTTGGCTTTTCGCGATTCCTTTTCCAATCTTTTCAAACGTTGCATGCACCGTTGCTATACTTCTTTTTTTCATGAGATACATTGCTGTACTTTTTTTTTTTATTGAATTCATGAATTACTGCTTGTGATTAGCGTTCACATGGAGTTAAGAAATTTTTATTAAACACAAAATTATACATTTAAAGTAAGATTCTGGTATTTTTTTTAACATTAAATTTGCGTTTCATTACGAATACACTCACTTCTCGTTGATTAGTATTTTCTTTTACGATAATGGAAGTTCTCTAAAATGGCACTGACCACTTAAACGAAATGATGCAAGATACTTTAAAAGCTTCTTTGTCGATAACGATTGTTTGACACTCCCAGTGAAAGTTAGACGTTCCACTCCCTTTGAAAATTACGCAAATAGTATTGCAGTTTTCTTCTTTCGCAATAAAACGTTATAAAATGAAAAATCTTTTTTGTTTCAAAACACCAGAATCATACCTCAAGAAATAAAAATGAAACGAATGTGATAAAATAATAAAGGGTGAATACCTCAAATATTTTACTTGATTTCTACAATCTTTACAATGTGACGGTTAACAAAGTAAAGTCCGATATCAACGTATATCACGTTCATAAAAGAAATTAATCCTCGAGTAAATTATGAAAATTCAGTGAAGGCGTAAGAGAGAACAGTTAAAATTCGTTTGCAGAGTATACGCGACGCACTCGACACGCTACTATCAAGCTACCGATGTTAACTAGATAGGTATAAGTCATCTACGCGAAGCGCCTTTCCTTTTTCGAAAACTTTTCGGCTCTTTTTTGCGCGTACGCGCGTCGCTGACGCATACCTAAGATAATACGTAGAGTGACACTGAAAACGTCCTACCCGATAGATCATAAAGAAGACTAAGAATTCCAAAGATAACGACGATTCCTTTTTTTTTGCTAGGTATAATGGGTGACAAGGTTACAGCGTACATTAGTACTCGACTATCTCACGAATATAATCGAAGATTTGTCGTATTACGATGCGAGCAAATTCAAAGGACGATCTCTTCTACCTTGGATAATAGATTGTTACAGCGTCAATTTTCGAATTCTTATTGGTTGTGAAATCGATCTGTTATCATCGACGAATATATTATTTACATTGACGTGCATTCAGGTTATTATGGATATAATAGTATGGCATATTATCACTAAAAATGACGTACAATTTATGAAATAAAACAATAATACTAACTAAGCTTCAAAAAGCGAATTAAAGTTCTGTTAAAACGAAAATTATGAGGGGTGCACATGCAAAGCTCCGATAAGCATTATTATAAGTGTTATCATACAGTGTTAATACTTTAATTGCAGGTGAGGGCTTATTTTCAGGAGTTGATAATAACCGAAAAAATCACCCTTACCTTAGACGTACCCAAGCTTAGATTTTTTAAGTACAGGCCTTGTTGAAAGTTGGCAGAGCATCTGAAGATATATGTATATTCGACTACTTCTTTAGACTTGGTTATTGCAAAATAAAATATTTTTCATGGTACTACTTTGCTCTGGCAATAACAAAAGCATTACGCTATTTTATGCTGTTGCTAATCTATATATTCTTCGTCACACATCATTCCATGTTGCAATCAAAATTATTAGGAACATCATTCGTTATTAGAAAAAAAAAAAATGAATCTTATTCGGAGTGCCAAATTGAAAAAATAGAAAGAAATTTCAGATTGATTGTCCTTATAGAAACGATCAAATTCGTAATCAGGGTTTTGTGAAATGAGACAAAGATCAATGCAGTTTAAGCAATTTTTCTTTATATACTTTCCCTTCATATACCTTAAATTTCGCAGTGCTACAACATTTTATAACACCATAACACGTGAACACGGGTTATTGCTCAAGATTTTTCTAAATGATTTTTTTTTAATTTTTATATATTTTTTTCATGTTTCGTCAATAAACCCAAGTAATTGCCCTCTGACTTTCCTTTACGAAATAAATAAGTCGTGTACCTTATACCATGTACACGTAATTATCTTAAAAGTATCACAATAAGTTACGTCTTAGGTCAATATTTTATAGGCGGTCTTTTAACTACCAACTAGAAGAATTTTTTTGTTCCTTTTTTCATTTTCATCAACTTTTGGTGTCAGTCTCATGTATAAACAATGTAAATACTCCGAAAATCAAAGTCTGGTTATATTATTGTCACGTGCTAAATGATTCGGTTTTTCGTATGCGTATCTTCCTTAAAACTAAATTTAGAAATTAAATTATTATTAACTCTTTTGTTTTTATCAAAAATGAGCTTTGCATCTAGTGAATAGTATATGACTTATAGTGTCCTTATCAACTTATTTTTCGTGAAAAATTCGTCTGATCACTGCCAAAGCAGCGAATAGACATTTTATTACCGAATTGAACCACGTATTTCTTATAATCAACGATTAAGTTAGATTCAAAGTGGAAAAAGCTAGTGAACGATTTACTAAAAGAAATAACAATGTCCAACGACAGAACAGCTTCAAATGCCAATACATCAATAATGAAAACTGTCGCGAGAAGGAATTTAAAAAATGTTGTCAAAAACAGAAGAGCACCTCGACAATGCAACTTATTCCACTTTGTTACTGAGCCGTACAAATGTAGCTACATTAGTCAGTGTCGTATCTTATAGCGACGGGCGCAAAAAATGCCTGAACCGCGCGTAAATACAATAGACTAAACGACTAGCGCTACCATAAATAATAATAGCAATACGCGTCCGTTAATAACACACGGAAGAGATGTATACGTGTATTCATGTACGTATGTGTGAGTGCGGGTAGAGATGGAAATAAGGAAAATCGCCTCGTTACAGTTATCTATTTACATGTCGAGTGAGTGAGAGACGCGCGGTACTAATAAATTAGAGTCAAAAGCTTAACGTTGCGTAACATTATATGTATTTCGGCCGAGCCGTCGTCGTCTTCGTGGTTTCGCCTCTTATCATCTATTTACAATGTGTCAACTTGTTCAGCAGCCCAGTCTCCGCTGTGAAGTCATTTCCATTTACGTAAATTTGCACTATTTAGAGAAGCCTTCGCAGATACTTTTAATTCGCAGTTGATAGTTCTCAAATCACTCGGGAAAAACTCAACTATGACATTCTTCGATCGACTTGGTATCGTTTTTCTGAGCAGTTGATTCGCGATCTTGAGTTCTTTCAGCGCGCTATTAATACGAAGTAGAGCAGAAGCGATCGCAGCCGAGAAGATTGCGTGCTCGGCCGGTAGAGAGGATGCTCTATTATATGCACCGTTATGTATAATAACTGTCTATGTGAATCCTTCTAATTGCCTTGTTCACTTCTTTTACCGAGACGAGTCTATTGAATCTTGTATAAAATGCTACACAGTGTACACGTCCGTTAACAGACAAACGAGCTTGTTAAAGCGCCATTTTTTTCACTAGCAAATATGTAATCTTGTCACGTTATAAAATCTATATGAATAAATATAGTGTAAAATCGTTCGAAAAAACAACGAAGCCAGGTATAACATTTGAAAAAGTTCATTAATTTGGCAGTAGTTTCATAAAAGTCCGAGCACGCAATCTACCGTCGATAAAATGCATCTCAATGCAATAGCACCCTACACCACATCAGTACGATTGTCAATTCGAGAGCGCGAACCGTCCATAATGCGAAGATGGATTCAAGTTAGAGAGAGAGAGAGAGAGAGAGAGAGAGAAAGAGAGAGAGAGAGAGAGAGAGAGAGAGAGAGAGGAAGGAAGGGAGGGAGAGAGAGAAAGAGAGCGAAGTGTATAATAAGCATATTATAAATGTTGTCATTATTAAACTTAAGAGTTCTTGAAAGCAGTGCAGTGCTGCTCGTCGAGCCTGACCTCCATGCTATCTCCGTGGTAGCTCTCGTCGTGACGCTGACTACGCTCACGCTCAAGAGTAATGAAAGGAGTAGCGAGCAGCTCACCCGGTGCAACTGTAACCCTTTCACACACCTCCACCACTGTGCGCCGTCGTTCTTCTGCAGGACTTCTCGCTAGCACCGGCACCGGGATCTCCGAGGCTTTTGGCAAACAAGGACTTCGTGGAACTTTGATCGGTGAGCCCGACGGAGAGGAACTCGAGGAGCACGAGCCCGAGGAGATGGATTTTCGCGGAAGTGGAGTGGGAATTTTGGAAGGTGTACGTGGCGATGGGAGAGGCGAGCCGAAACTGTCGTTCTTGGCCTCTGGCTCTATCGAGCAGACAGTGTTGGCCGAGGAAGAGTCAGGCGTGGAAAGACCTTCCGAGGGAGACTCGTCTTTTGGACTGGTTATCTCGGGAAGGTAGGAAATCTTGAGTTTGGGTAAATAATCGGGTGGAGTTTGGCGTGGAGGAACTCGAGGACTTTGATAGACTACCGGGCGTTGAGACGAGGAGTAGGCGATGCTGCTGCTGCTGTTGTTAGCGTTAATAGTCAGAGGAGCGGCTTCAGCCTTGGAGGAGGAAGTACAAGTGTCAGCGGTGCCCTGTTTAGCAGTCGTGGAGAGAAAAAAGGCATTCATATACATAATTGCCCATAACCATAATACCAGAGCTTGGGGGTAGGCGGAGAAAAAGACGATATTTACATCAAGAGAAACACGAATACAAGTGCCAAGCGTATGTAGCCTTTTTCATTGGGGGACTTAGAAAAGTAGAGCAAGGAGGTTGTCGGGGACGTGGATAGATTAAGAATATTTGTAGTGTTTGTATACAAAGATGTAATACTGAAGTACCAATCGGTACATCTTAAATCATACATGATTTTTGCACAGACTCTTCTTATTTTTCATACCTGCACTTATAGTTTTCATTGTATACACTATACCAATAAAACTAATGCCAACTCCAAACCATTACAAACACCATAGTTAGTGATCTACATCCACCTCCTTACTCTACCCTTAATTATACTAAACTTTCATCAGAAGTCAACCAAACAACAACAAAAAAACACTTACCGTATCAGGCAGCACCGCATTGCAAGGCTCGGGCTTCTCCAGTTGCAATTCGGAAATCTTCTCCTCAAGGTTTTTCGTGTTCTCTACCAAACTTGTCTCGATAGTACTTCTGAATTCAGTCATTTCTTCAACGATAACCTGAGGTTTGACGCTCTCAATCATGGGTGCAACAATGTTGCTCTCTTCTTCGATAGGTTCGTCGGCCTGACTGACGGAGCAACTTGCGTCAGCCGTGTGTATTCCCGAATCTTCACGGTCGGTATCATTGAGAATCTCCGCGGATGAAGAAGAAGCCGGATAACGGCGTGTTTGATGATAGTCGAGTTCCTCGAGGCTCTGCACGCGCTCGAACGTATCCGGTCCGCTTGAAGCGTCCGCGTCCAGCGAGTCCAGGCTGTGATGGAAGGGGGCACCTCGGGGTGCACGATATTCAGAGTCCGGTGAGGAACTGCGCTCACTTGGAGTCGAGTTTTCGGCACGATTGGTGTTCGACTGTTGAAAGATAAGCGAAATCAAATTAAAATGTCAGTGAATAAAATGTAAATTTATGTTTAAAGTTTAATGTACGAACTTGTTCGTGGAAGCAACTTGTGGTACGTTTTTCGGATTCCTTGCGACTGACATCAAGCGAAATCAAGCGTTCCTTGACTGATTTGGCACTCACTTCGCCATTATACTGTGCTGGCGCCATAAACATTTGCTCGTTAGTATACTTTTCAAGATTCGATAATCGCTCCCTCAGAGGTTTGACGCCCTCCAACTCTTCGGCAACAATGTCTCTCGTTTTCAACTCCTTTTCGCAGGTAAGCTTTTCCCTGAATCGCTCCAATACAGAACTATTAGATTCGATCGAGTGTCTGGGACTCATATGAAGCTTCTCTTCGTTCTGTCGTTCCAAAAATGACAGTCGCTCTTTGATACTCTTGCCGTTGCCGAATTCAATTCTGCCATTGTTGTTGCTCTTGTTTTCCGTATTGTCTCTTGACGCCTTTTCAAAGATCTCGCGCCTCTTGAGAATGTCGATCTTGACAACTGGTTGCTGCAATTGTTGAGACTGAGACTGTACACCATTGGCCTTTTCCTCAAATGTACGTGCTAAGAAAGTCTTTATCGGCGACGAGATGTCGCGCCTTGGAGGGGTTTGTCCAACGCGATTAACGTAACTCCTTACTGTACCTTCTAATTCTTCGGGTTCTGGCGAAGTCGTCGTCGCCGAGTCGTACTCTTGATTTCCGTTCTTGTGGAAACCGTTGTTCAGCGTTGTTTTCTTGAGTGGAGAACCGATTGAGTTTGCCTTGATGCTTGATGGCGATGTTTTCATAGCTATCGGTGACTTGGATGTCGCACCGTGATCATTACTGTCATTGCCGTTCTCGTGACCATGATTGTCTACATCCGAGTGAATTTTGTCGATCTCGCTGTCTCTGTCACTCTGTAAAATACAAAGCATTAAGTTTCGGTATACAAAGTGAAAGAAATCTACCGAACAAAATGAAGAAGAGAAACTAACGAGAACACTGTGGCTATCGTCATGTGCATCCCCACTGACAGAGCTTTTGCCACTACTAGTGCCGATGCCAAGGTCACTCAGATCATTCGAGTCTTCCTCGTTATAGATTGCGAGGCTCAGACTGAGCTTGCGACCTCGACCTTCCATCATTTCCGACAATGTTTTTGCGTTTCGTTTGCGTAGCCTTTCTTGATCCTCGAGCTCCAATTTCTTCACCTCCACCACGCGCTCGATTATGTGCTCTTGCCGTTTCCGTCTGCTACTTTTCCAATTGTCTAGATTCTGAAAACATAAGGAGAACGATGTTGTCTTGGTTGACCAGATAATTACAATTCTTTGTCAAATGAAAGTGAGTGACTAACCGATTGCCAATCTTCGGGATCATCGCGCACCTCCTGTTTGACCTTCTTCACCTCTTGCACTGTTTTCAGTTGTTCCTGAGCGGAGCGATATAACGGGCATGGTCCAACTTTGACGAATTGCAGCGGGTTTGTCGCTTGTTTCGGCGGTGTTTTCAGTGGTGTCTTCAATTTCGGTGGTTCTTGCGTTAACTGCAATTCAAATGAGCTGAGTCATGACGCGAACACACACAAATCGAAGATAACAATATCAACTAGCTTTCTTAATGTTCAGAAAAGAATGTTTGCCGCGAAAGCATAAACAGAACACGCGTGTGCATCGACAAATTCCACGGAAGCTTTAGCGCGTCACTCGAAAATACTGCGCCCGGCCGCCGAAGGACAGAGTAAATATATGCACGTGTCAACGTCCCATCGGCAAAGTGACTCCCGGAATTTTCGGAGAAAGAGCCGAGGCGATGCTAGTCCATCGACTCTCGGGCAAATATTGCGTTAGTTGGCCGGAGAGAGGCTTCGAGCGAGCGGCTAGCAGGAGACCCTACAACTTTGGTCGATACGAGGGTTCGGCTATAGATCAACAAGTATATTGACGTCGAGCAAGCACACGGGAAATTGCTCGAGAGATTTAGAGCAGACAGGAATTAGGTCCTTTTGTGGCTCATTGCCCGGCTAAGTGGATTTCGCGTTCGCTTATTTGTTTATTGGCTACTGACGACAGTGTCGTGAGCTGTTTTAAAGCTACGACTGTCATTGACGCGATTACGGATCTTCGTTTTTCTCAGTGCGATTGATAAAGTAATCTCATATCACGAAAAATCACAGTGCTTCCTAATGGGCAAACTTGGATTCCCAAAAGAATGGAATCAATTGTAAAAGAAGATCGCCGATGGAGCTTCGACAATTGCTCTCATTGGAGAAACTACGTCAAAAAATTAAAACGAGGGGGCAGCCCGCGGCCAAGCACGCTTCCTTTTCCGGCGTCGTCGCCGTCGTAGTAGTAAAAGTAGGTCTATCGGCGCGCGAGCTCTAGCTCTCACTACACTTTATCAGCGAACACGTGTACTTCCCATTGTCTTACACGACGACAATTACTTTTTCAATTACTATGCATCTCTTTTTCCTACTACGACGTCACTTTCTTGTTTTTGCTACATTGCCTAATCGAATATTAACACTATAAGTACATTAGCGATGAGATGACGTAGAATGACTATCGCGTAGACGATGTTTTTCATTCAAAATTTGATCGGCATTTACTTGGTAAAATTCTGTCCTAAAAAAAAAATCCTTGACCGAATGCTTTGAAACTCCGAACGTTTTTCTCCATTTAAGAAAGAAATTCTTATTTAAAAACAGTTGATACCATTATCCAACAAAGTTACGAATTGAAGTATATTATAGTGTATTCGCAACTTACAAGCACGATTGTTAAAAAAATAATTAGGTTGCTATTATTGGCGATATGAAATAAATATAAGGTAGAGAAAACAGAAATAGTGGAACTTACAGTTGGGCTTAGCGTCCTATCACTATTGCGCCGCTCATTGGCGGTGGTGGCCTGCGAGGATGGCATCTCGCGTTCCGCTCGCGCGTGCTCTTCCACGTTGGGTGTCGCCTCGAACACTGCCTTCTGCACGGCTTTTACGCTGCTTTTCCTTTTTTTTTTCTTCTTCTTTTTTTCGCCAAGCCGCTCAATGCACCGATGGTGCCGGGTTGGCTGCAGCAGCTCCGCTCGGCAGCTGCGCACAGCCCATCCTACGCTCCCTGCAAATAAAAATGCGCTTGTTATCGCACCTCGCTTCGTACGTAATGTTGCTCATCTGGATGTTTTTCTGAAAAGTCGGCGGGCCACACGGGGCCCCCGTGTTCGCTTGTTTGTGCGACGGACGGTATCTTTCGGCCATCTCGCGCTGAATTACGACTGCTTCAAAAGCTATATATGCAGCGCGCTGCCAAGGAGAAAAAAGAAAAAAAAAATAGAGCGCACGCTGATCGAGATCGCGATGGAGTGACGAAGCGAGTCGGTATGTTCGATGCCAGTCAAAACTGTTTATTTACGACCAGCGCGCGCAGTTAAGATTCAAGCGTTTCCGAAAGTTTCTAAATTTAAAAAACTCGCGCTTGGCAGTTGACGTCTGTGAAATTCCAGTGCAGAAATTAACCGGAAAGTGAGATGACCTTAGCCTACATTTTCAAGTCTTCTTTTTTTCCTTTTCCAAGCTAAAAGAGAAGAATCTTACTTTCCTCTCTCGAGGTTATAGCGCAATTTTCTTTTCCTCTCTTGGAAATTATCGTTCATTTTCCCTTTCGTCGTTCTCCATTTGCCGCGGACAGGACAATGTTGGCAAATACATATAATTGAAGAAAAGATGTAAAAATCGCGCGGCAAAACATAGCGACGTCGGCATAAAATTCCTCGATAGCCAGTGCAGCCTGCGGAAATGAAGGCGCGTTTTCACGAAAAGACCTGTTCTTCTTTTTTTTATTTTTATGGCTAAACGAGTGAAATGTGCAGGCATTATGAGATTTTCGCTCAATGACGCGTGACACGCGTTCGTCACCGTCCTACTGACACGAATTGAACGGGCTTCGTTGCGATTATGCTGTCAGCCAGCGAGGGAAATTTTTCGGGAAAGTTGTCGTCCAACGGGTGAAAGGTTTACGTGTTGTTTTTTTCGTTTCATTCATCGCTTTACGTATGAAGATGTCTAGCAATTAGGGCTTTAGTTCGACGGTATAAATTAACGGGCAAATACAGCGAGGCAATAAAAAATGCGCTAATTGAGAAAAATTAAAAGAACCCGTTTCGCCGAGAGGCCGGGTGCTCAATTTTAATTTTCGGCTGCTTTAATTGGATTTTATTTGACGTCTGCATTTTACTGTTGCATGTTCATCTCCCAAATATTACGATGATCATTTGTTAACTTGCACAATCTATGTAAATTTGTGTAATCGACGATAAACTAGCTTACAATTCCTCCTTCAAAGCCACTTGGAGGCTAACACCTTCGTGCGATTATAAAGCGCAAATCGCCGTCCAGCTAGATAAATCTCGACGGCACGTATATGTTAGGACGTAATGACCATTAGATAATGATCTGAGAAGGAAATACATTTCGGGGTAATAACTTGGACTGCCGCTACGTTGAAATCTTGCGACGATGTATCTATGCATGACTTTTTCTTGTTTTCGTCGAAATTTCTCTATTATTTTTAACTGAACGTTTCTTTGAAATTGGCAAGTTGGTTGAAAAATCGTCTACCAATCGTCGCGTTGAAAACTGAGAGCATCCGGAAAGCACACAGTGCAAATAAAAGCAAATGACTTCGCACGACTAACACTCCACTTTAATTGTCAGCCATTCTTCTAACTTCATCTTCATCTCCGTGGGCAATTCATCTTCTCCATTTTGAGGCAGCAGCGCTCGCACGTGTACACTCTGATGTGCCTAGTTTATTTTTCTCCGTTTAAACATCAGAACGTGACCGCCGCGCCGTAGGCCTTTCTTATACTTCGCCCAACCGATAAAATCTCTCGCTCGCGCTCGCTCTTCGCCAAGATTAAGAGCCAACGCAGCCAACAATACCGACGCGCTAGATTATACTTCAGCTAAACGTCTTTATCGCCGTGGCAGACGTGCGCCCGCCGAATCGTGCGCGCGCGACTCACCTTCCGCCGGGCAGCGTTCGCAATTTCAATCCCAAATGTTTCCGGAGCATCGACGCCGAATCACGAAGCTTTTACAATTGTCGCGAAAATATTCCAATTGCGAGCCACAAATTATTTTACTTTGCGCTCGAGAGACTCGCATTAAATCGCGTCGCTGTATATTCAAGTCCGTCGCGCTGAATTGATTGGGGGCAGGGGGGGGGGGGTAAAGAGCAGCGCCCGAGGACAAGGAATCGACCACCAGGCGCACGCTCGTTATAATTGCCGGTTTGCGCGCGCAAGCGCACCAACCGACAGAAGAATGAACGAGGCAAAGCTCTGCCGAAAATAGCGGGCAAATAATTTATTTGACAATGGGAGCCGAGCGCGGGACGACGACGGCAAACCGCAAATTTTCCGCGATGTAAAAAATGCCTTGCCGCCGGGCTACGTATGCGCCTGGTGTATAATCAAAGCCCTGTTTGTGCGTGCGTGCTTGCGCGCGCGCGTGAGTACGCGGTAAACGAGATACCAGGCTTGGTTCGCCGAAGGAGGAGAAAAAAAAATGAAGAATCATAGGGTCGTTCGGTCGTTTCGCGCGTTTGACGTTGCCCCGCGAGAGCCGCGGACACGACGGAGAGGCGCATCGTGCACAATGACTTACGAGCCGCTTGTGTAAATCGGCAACCAACGACGCCCGATCGGCATCCGCTGCGCGTCCCGACGCGTTGTCAAACGATGCGCGATCCGTGACTTGACGGTCTCGGCGGACCGATAGGCTCTGCTTTTGATCTGCAGCCAAGAAGGGACTATTATTATCGCCCGCAGCGATACGCAAGCAACGCTGTTGCGGAGAAAAAACAAGAATAAGCGGGATAGGCTGCGCGAGAACGCGATCTTTTTGGGAATCTCTTGCGAGAATGTAATCGCTCGTCAAGCTCTGCATCTTTCGCCGAGGAAATTCGCGTGGAAAAATTTGAGAGGGAATCGACCAAGCGTGAAACTACGTGCTTGCGATATGGCGTTGGACAATCATGACCAAACTTAAAAATTCGCGGCTTACTAGTAAACGTTTTTCAGGTGAAACGAGAAGCCACCTAGCACCAAGAACGCAGAAGTCGCGAAATGAAACGTCTCGGGAAAATCTCGGCGCCGGAGTCGTCGCTCGCCCGCGATAATTGGTAACTCGGCAAAACACAGCATCTTAATTCGCCATCTTCATAGCTGGAGAGGCTCCGACGCCTACTATTCGTCGCGCGAAAGCCCTAATAACAGCGCCGCGCAATTGCTGCACAGTACACGGCGGTAGCGTAATGAATCTAACGACGAAAAAAAGAAAACGTCGTCGTCGTGCCGACGGAAATAAGAAGAAAGCCAGCGCGTCTGCTAACTGTTGTTTCAGTTCGCGGTGTATATAACGTTCCGCGGCTGATTGCCACGCGCTTGGCTGCCGTTAATGAATAAACGCAAGCGACGACGACACTCCGCAGGAGAGATGTTGTTCAACGCGCTGACACACTTAAAACCCAACGTGATCGCTGCGTTATGCGACGTTATATGTATCGCGCAGTCACTTTTTTTTTGTTTCCTTTCCGCTCTTCGCCACTGATTTTACGCGTGTCTGTGAAAATGTGGGTTTCGTACTTTTTTTACAGCTACCAGAGACGGCTTTTGACTATTCATGAGGATGCAGCAAAATAGGTTGTGATTAGACGCGTCGTGATTTATTGCATCTCGATGATCGCTTGACTTTGAGAATTTATGTGCTCTCTTTGGATACATTGACCTTCAAAATTTATATACTAGTTAATCCATTCGGCGTCACGAATATCACGAAAATTTTCCACTGACTCGATTATTTTTCAGAGCACTGCGGGCGCATTGCTATATTTTCTCCGAAATATACCTTTCAAGTCCAAGACGCTAACATTAATATGGTGAAATTTCAATTAGCTATATTAAAGGCATTCCACGAATCGCCGCGGCCAAAAGGTATATAAACGAGTCCGTAAATCAATTCCTAAAGTCATAAAAAAAGAAGCAAAGACAGAAACCCGCTAGGCCTAATTTCATCCTTTCGTCGGCGAGCCGCGGCGACGGAAAAACAAACACATCCATTCGCTTTCCCCAACCGCAAATTTCGCGACTGCTGTTCCACGAAGAGGAATCAATTTTAAGTACAGCGATTATGTATCTTTGAAGGCGCGAGTAAAATCGAAGGGTTGATCGCGGCGCGATTGCAAAATGCCGCTGTTTGTTGTCGACCGGCGAATAATGGCGCATTCACTCGGTAATTCCATTTCGTAGTCGTTATCTCACGCGTGAGAGATTGCGATTTTCGCTTTGCCCCCCGGCAGCGCGAGCTTTCGAGCTTGGTCGTCGCGGCTATTTGTCAATCCCGCCGAATAGGTCGCGCGAAGGAGGCAGGGGAACGGCCAGTTGGAATTTCGCGAGCGCGATATAATTGAAGATGGCCGCGCGCGAAAGGTCCGATAAAACGGCGCACCTTGCGAAATCGTAGAGCGACGCGATGTTGCATTGTTTAGTCGCTGACCTCGATATAAATTTTCAATTCTCAGGCGGGCGTTGTTTCAAAGGCGTATCCGATTTCTATCTGTGGTATAAACGTCCATAAGCTTACTTCAGCAACTTCATTTTGCCTGTCGATTTTGCAAGCGTAAAATTGAAAATGATCGCGCATTACGCTTTCTCCCGCAAAAGAAATAAAAGAAAAGCATAAAAGTATGAGAAACATTAAATAAATAAATAAAATTATTGGAAACGTGCAATAAACCGAGTACGCAGGTTGTGAAAACTCGATTTTATCGTAATTTTATATAAAAACACAATGCTTTGACGAAAACTATGGGTAATTGACTCCAATGAGCTCCGGCAATTTCCCGACAATCGATCACACAACAACACGCAATTTTATATATTCGATGAGCGATGCGAAACGTCCCGCGCTTAAATAATGTTAATCCCCTCGTCGTTGCGCTGCTTATCTTCTATTTGAACGCTCATTACGCAAAATCATACGCTATTACGGCACAAAATCGCACATCGCGTCGTCGCTGTTTACTATGAAATGTATCTTTCACGTTCGACTTTATTCGCGCGTAATTTCGCCTCGCGTCCATACGTCGCAATGGATAATAAGATCGCGCCGCGCGCGCAAAGAAAAGCGGAGAGCGCTTGCCGATGGATGGCAGAGAAGTAAAAAGTTACGACCTCGCCCCCCCGCGAAATTACGAATCTATCTTTCCTCATCCTTCGGCCGCGGAATTTACGGCGACGTCATTACGTAATCAATGAAAAGGCCAATAAAGAGAGGCCCGAAAATAACTGTTTCACTCCTCCAATGACCGTGCCTGCACATCTTTCAAAAGCCTTCGCCGTTGCAATATCATTACCTCGTAACTCATCGCAGCAACCAAAACAAAAGACGCCAAAGAATCATTAAACAAAAACATACGACTCGTACGAGTTTTAGCGAAAAATGCAGCTTCTTGCTTTCTTTCTTTCTTTCTTTCTTTTCTTTGTTTTTTTTTTTTTTTTTTTTTGTTGTTAACTTGCGCAAGGGATTTGCAGAAGCATAACGCAATAACTATGCGTGTATATGTATAAACGTAAGCCGACGATAAAATTAAATTACACGCTATTACGCGATATACGTGTGTAAAAACGGTTCGTACGTGCACATGGTGTATTATTGCATCGCAGTTGCATTGCTAAAATGAGGTGTTCTTTGCCCGGAAGACTCTGATCGCATTGTTGGTCGATCGTGGTTTTGTAAAGTTTTTTTTTCATTGTGCAAGTAGTTTAAAATAATGCGAAATACAATACCATTTTTTAGAACTAAATAGAATGTTTATGAACCTCGAACATATCGCTCTATGGAGAGTTCTATGTCATCAGCAATTGCTTTGCAACGAAATCGATCTGGTTCAACAGGAGCATGCGATAAGATCGCAGATTCAAAGAAAAAGTCTATAATTAAAATTTCTGACAAATTGTCTTTTATCGATAGACCTCTCTATGTCATCTCATATTCTCCGGATGAAAAGTAAAAATTGAATGGTATCTGGAGTAACTCGCCGTAGCTGTCAATTAAAAAAAAAATATCTCACGTATATATAACTGTACGCTACTTTTTTTCCTCGCTATAGTGGCTAATATAGTAGTGAATGCAAATATTTTGAGATCGGAGAGAAGAAAAAGCCATCAAAATAATCACGTGTTTTATTTTTTGTCCGGTTACCTCCCGCACCGAGTAACGGCGCAATGACAATGAGGCAAAAAATAGGAGTGGCGAAATGCACGAGAATTCGGAATATTCGAGGTTGGCAAGCGATTGGCACTTAACAGTATATCCCGCAGCCGAATACCAATGTATGTGGATTTAACGGTAGTTGACCTTATCTTTTGTCTGCTGTGCGCGCGCGCTTTTCCCCTTTTTTATCGGGAAGGCTTGTTTGCCACCGATAGAAACGTTGCTATTGTGTGCCAGCTGAACTTTTTTCAGCCACTGCTTAGCTTGATTTATCTGATTGCTTTTATTGCTTCGATTTTCAGTCTCGAGCTGCGGTTTCTTTTATTTTAGATTTGATGGCCTTTTAATTGACGCGAGATTCTATTGGGTAATTAAAAGTAGCTCGAGTGTATTACAATGCAATTTAATTAGCCTGGCGAGTTTTCTCTTGCAAACAAGCGTCAAATTAAAACACCGATGAGATTCAAGCGCGAACGAAACAAAAAAACGATCGGTTTTTGTTTACCAAGTTGAAACACAGACGAAAGCTCTGTGCGACGACGTTTGTTTACTACAGAAGGAATAATTCAAAAGAAAATGTACGTCAATATTATTTAGTATTCGAAAACAAAAACAGCGAATGAAAATAACGATTGCCGTGCTGAAAGAAAAAAATTCAAGGTTCGTCCATGCGCATGAAGGCAAACACAGTTTTCTCTTACAATCAAGTAGCTGTCAGGAAGTTTACAATGACTTAGCGCCAAAAGTTGACATCTCGAGTGTGTGTCCGATGTTCACCACGCGTGTGTGAGAGAGTCTGATCCTTTTGATATGCTGCGCTTTGAAACGGTTTAAATTTGGATGTACGCCGCGCGATTCATTACAATCTTGGACAGCTAACACCGTGGCTACCTCACGTGAATAATTGCCGAATCTCTGTTGTAAAAATGAAATGTCGTTGTAAGCATCGCTGAAATGGATTTAATTTTCCCAAGCGCTAAAGGCACTACAATCTCGTCGATCATTATAAAAGTTCTCGAACCGAGCCAATTTTTCTGGATTTCTCATGAAAATTCAATCGACCCAGCAACGATCCGTTATAGTCGCCCGACAAAAACCGCCTGAACAAAGGATACAAATAAACCAGACTCTCCAATCAATTATAACCTCGCAGTCTTTAACTTCCGCGAGTACCTGCAGTAAAGATCCCTGGAGCGTCGCGAGTTTTTATGAAGCGTAAAGTCGATTTCTCGTAGAGCCGCCCCGCGGCGCGGAAGAGAGAGAGAAAGAGAGAGGGAGCCCCCCTGCGAAGAAGCGAAACTCGGTCAGGGTGCATTACGGTCAAAGAAGAGAGTAAGAGTTCCACACGACAGATACAATGCCCTCTCTAGATATTTTTTTATGAGTGATGCCTTCGCGCTTCTCGCGGTGGGTGGCAACTGATATTTCTTTCCGCGCGAGGTTGACAGTTACGACGTACGACGGATTGATGATATGCCATTTCTCTCTTGAGCGACGTAAATTTCAGTTATCGCTTTTTCCTATTACTGTGCGCTGACCGTCCTGCACTTCCCTGCACGAATCATACATCGGAATAATTGTTAATTTTATCACGACAAATGTTGCTTGGTTTGCAATATGTCATTTAACGATAGAGTCATTTTATTTATGCGCAAGATAATGGAACTTCATTTCCTTCGTAATCTATCAGAAATTTGCATGTCGATAGGAAATAAAAAACACTTCGGTTGAAACGTTAATCGAGAAAACTTACTTTACTCGGGTAAAAATTGCGCTCCAGTGTGCCGAGTAAAATCAGCCCTCTGAGTTTTCCTCACCTGAAACACAAACAAAGCAAAAATGTTACCAAACGATTTCACGTCATTTCATTGAAATTTATCACTATCAACATAGAGGTAATTTTCCAACAGAAAACCGCTCAATTTCGCATTGAAGAAAAGCAGCCCGCAGCCCTCCGAAAATATAGCCCAATATACGTCGCCGAAGAAGCGAGAAGCTATCCGTGTTCGGTTCGCGTTGGTGTACTACTAAGCCACAAACGGTGCGAGAGCGCGCGTCAATCTATAAAAAGGAGCGCGCTCATGCACTAAAAGATCAAACGGCGGTCTTGGAAGAAGCCTTTGAAAAATCGAGCCCGCAAGCCAAACTCAAAGAGCGCGAGAGATAAAACAGAGCAGCGGTCCACTTTTGCACGCAGTAACGTATTAGCGCCAGCCGGCGGAGATAAGCAACTCGACAGATTTCTGCACGTCCGAAGAGTGCAGGTGTAACGTGAGCGAGCTGGAGGATGTGATTTTGCCGGTGCTCTTTTCACTTTTAGCAAGCTCCGTACGGTTATCTGCTTATATTTGTAATGGTCTTGAATGGCTGCGCATCTGAATAATCGTTCGAGGAAGAGAGCCTCGGCTAATTTAAGGATAAATCGCAATAACAAACAAGTCGAAGGAAAAACAAAAAGGAAAAAAAACATCGCGAGTGTAGTTAAAGGAGCGAGGAATTCGCGATACGTACACGGCGCGGGCGACCGACCGCCAACACAACGACCATTTAGCTTTAATCATATCTGTCCTCTCGTTTCTCTCGGTCGTTTAAGCGCTTATCTCGGTCGCGCGCGCAGCGTTATATATATACAAAAGGGCGTCCAATGCACCATCATCGGCGGTGCGCGCGGCTGCTACTATCTACGCGCCGCGCACTCCGAAGAAAGGAGAAAGAGGGAGGGAGGGAGGGAGGGAGGGTGAGAGAGAGGGAGGGAGAGAGAGAGAGAGAGAGGCAACAACGTAAACAAGACTAACGAAGCAGACGTTTATCACCCCCTCCTTCTCCCCCCTGCCGACATTTATGGAGTATAAATAACAAGCAAAAGCGACGGGGCCACGTGCGCGCGCGTGGGCTACCGCGTCACGACTCGCACTTCCGCGATCTGCTCTCGGACACTTTTTCATCTCGGCCTGCCTGCTTATCCCCCGTCCGCGCGTCGTCCTGCACCAGCCGGTTTTGCACGCGCGACGTACGACGACACCCGCTCCGATAGCAATTGGTCCGGCCGAGGTTCGCAAATTCGTCACAGATCCATTTGCGCGATTACGCTCTCGCCCGATTTATCGCCCATCTCGCTCTTCCCATCCGAACTAATGGATCCACGCGTAACGCGGCAGTCGCGTAGGCCTGCTGCCGACCGATCCTCCGTCCAGCTTTTCTAAGAGGCTTATCAATAACGACCCAGAAGGAACTCGATATTAATAAGGGTCGGCGAGGGCAAAATCGACAAGTGACATAATGCCCGGACATTAAAGGCCCCCGCTTCGATCGATCCAAGCGATAAGAGGGAGAGAGAGAGACTAAAAAGAGGTAGCTGCGCGCGCGCATCGATTTATGTCGGCGCGTGATCGTTATTGATAATGCCGCGCGCGAGCAAGCGCATTATCGTAGGCATGAAAGATCCCGAGCGAAAACTGGACCGACTGGAGAAGGCTTCTCTTGCGTTGTTTATGGCGCAGCAGGGGAATTTATAATGGAAGCCGCCTCTCTCTCTCTCTCTCTCTCTCTCTCTCTCTCTCTCTCTCTCTCCCTCAAGACGGTCATTAACACTCTGTACACGATAGCTGCTGCCGGTTTTCAACCGATCGAGATTCCTCTCTCTAATTTTCCATCGACCACCTTCTTTTCCCAACAAATTGCCGCGGGCGCCCATCGATCCTCGCTATTTGCCGTAAAACTTGGACCCGCTCGTTAACTGGACAACTGTTTCCGTGCCGAAAAAGTTGTAGCGCTCGCGTTATACCAGAGGATTCATCGCAACGAGAATACCGCGAGATAGATACCGTCGGAAAGGTAACTTACGATACTGCGCGCTCGTGAATTCATAGTGGCTTTTATTTCCGAGTAGGACGATAAGTAAGAACCGTTGACCCCCCAATACCGTCGCGATAATATTTCGACTAGAAAAAGGAAATCCGCGCGCAGAGAAAGAGAGAAGCTGCATTCCAGAAATAGTCTCGGAGACTACATAGCTATCTAGGCGGTTCTCTGCAGTAAACATCACTTTATTTGCCAGGCAAACATACACATCGTATAAGCAGAGAGAGAGAGAGAGAGAGAGAGACGAGGGGTAGGAGGAGCATGCGTATCTATATGAGTAGAGAGAGGCGCTGCGGTGGCTAGGTCACGGTCAGGGCGATGGCCCCGTCGTCGTCGCTGTATTCCTCCCACATACGTAGTCTTTTTCTTGATCTATTGGATCTGCTCGTTCCTGGGTGGAATGCTATCGACTACCACGACTACGTCGTGTCGATCGCGATCATTGTTGCGCCGCGCGTTTAGCGGCCTGTTTCATACATACGGCTATCTAATCGTCGGGAATTAAGTTGGGCGATGGGGCTTTCAATTAGAGCTGCAAGCTCTCTTTTTCCCTTTTCTTTCGGATGGCTTGCTGCCTTTGAGATTCCGCTTCCGCAGCAGATGGATTGATGCGTACGAGGGCAGGCTGCTGCCTCTTCTCTATCTTCGAGCGACTGTCTCTGCTATTTAGCTTTAATTAACCGTGGCAGGACAAGTTGGCTGTCAGTTCCTTTCCGCTTCTTTTGTTTTCAATTGAGCACATTAATCGCAAGCGATTTGCCGTCAATTTGAGAATGATGATTTCGGAAAATTGCTTTCATGGTATCATTATTGCCCCATATTTTCGCACGCAACGTTTTTCGACAAGTAAATTGTGAAATCTTAAAAAAAGAATGCACAATTCAATTACAATTTGAACCCACAGTTTGGAACTACTGATAAATAATTCGGTTAATCTGACGTTCATTGTTCAATAAAATGATATTTTACTTTATCAAGCGAGTTACAAGAAGAAAAGATACGATCGCATAGTCCTTTTGAGGATTTATTTTTATTATAAAAAAAGGATATATTTTTATTAATCCAACATAATGCGCTTAACAATACGAGCATTCTTTTAACGACGAAAAATAATGAAAATATATGAGACAACGTTTCGGTGTGTAATCTAACGACTGAAAAAAAAAGTTTTAACGGAAATTAGTTTAGCATCGGTGTAGTAGCCAGAAGGCATCATAAGCGGAAGCGCTACAGGACTCTTTGAAGATGTTGAGCGGCACTGTGCAGTAAAAGCGAGATCGCGTACAAGAAGCGGAAAAGGCATGGAGAGCTCGCGCGAGAACGGAGGTAGATCGGTCACGCTTCCTATCTGATCGTCACGCTTCGTCTTCGTATTCCTTTTTTACCTATCCTCGTTTTTACCGACGCGTGCAAGAAGCGCCAAATTGGTCGTCGCTACTTTCGCTCCCGATGCAGCTCTCGAGATACACGCGCCACCTGAATTTTCCACTCGGGCAAATTGCCGGGATGTGTCCCGAGGTGCTTGACATTGCAACGAACAAAGATGAAAGAAAAGCCTCGAAACGGGCTCTCGCCTTCCGCGTACGTCGGTGTATTCCTCGTGTGTAATTTTCGAGCATACAGCCGGCAAGACTGTTGCTATTCCACGGCTTTTTGCTTTCATTCGTATTAGGAAATCCAGAGTTTTTGCAGTCTTTAAGGCTTGCTTGATGACCTTGTCGCGAGAGATTATACGTTATCTAGCTACCTTTATAATGCCAAGGAATATTTTGAGCAATTGCTGTTGCAGTATTTGGACGATTACTACAATAATTACAATTTTATTCTTATCGTGAAATCATCAAGTTAAAACTTCTATTATTTTTATACAATGCATGCCGTCGTTTGCACGTTGTTTATTTCCAGATTTTTTGCACCTTTGTAACATTTTAACGATAATCGGTATAGAACTTTAACTTTGTTGGGTATCGTGTTGAGTAATGCAACATATAGCGGCAAGTGATAGTATCAAAATGAAATTTTACAATAGCGCATTTGTGCTTGGATTATGAGTAGAAATAATTATATAGAGATAGACGTAACTTGGCATTAAGCAAAAAAATTCGTAAAAATAAAATTACTGAAATTTTTCGTCGACAGCAGCAAGCTTTTGCAATTAAAATAGTTGTGAATTTCGATGAAATCCTTTCAAATAACGTTATTGAACGAAAAAAAAGATTTCACTCTGATTAGATATTTGCGAATGCAAGTATGCACACCGCAAAATGCGTTCACCACAAAAGAGTTTTTGTTAGACCAGGACCTCGATGCAAATGCCTACCTCTATATTTTCATTATTATTCCGTAAAATTACACTACCGTAGCTACGTGAAATTTGAATGGACAAAGAGTTGTGCAATGTTTCCCATAATACGTGTATACACAAATGCGATTTTCTGCGTACTATTAGTGGTTTAAGCTGTATTCGTCGTGGTTTGTTTGGTCTTTTAAAACTTAGCTGTCTGTGGCGCTTTATTACTATAGTTGATTTAATATGGTTTATTATTTGTAATGAACTTTGTGGCTAAAATGGATAAATATGTATTTTCAGTTTTAGCAAAATAACCCGATTGAGGATTCTATTTGCTTGAATGAAGAAAAAAACAGACCACTTTCAGTTGAATGCATCTGTGATATCAGCGTATCGATGGAGCCGAAGAAAAGGAATTGAAGCCCGATTTAATGACATTGAACTCGATGTATAGATCAGAACAGTTCCTTCTGAGAATTGAAAGAAAAGCAGCCACTTAACACACGAGCTATCAGCTTATTATTACGGCGCCACCTCTCTTCGCGTACCTCCCACCAATGAGAAACACGCGGTAAGAATTTCTTGGTTTTTCCGCATTGCCCTGTTAATTATTGTCATTGCGTTCCAAGATTCTAGACCGACAAGTAATCTGCGGCAATGTGATCGCCGCTTATTTCACGATATATAGAAATACCATACAATTCGCGGAATACACTAAAGCATGTGCATAGGCAAACGAAGCCGAAAACATGGACGGATAATTCTAGTGCAATGTACTATAATGAGCACAAATAGTATACAGCACCCACACGACTATTAATAAACTTGGGAGAGCTGGCAGGGAATTAGTTGATTTAGCGCAGTTCAACACTGTCGCATAACTTGATGTTGAATCTTGTTTCCCCTTTGTTAAAAGAACCTTTTTTTTGTCCACACGGCATTGCATATGCATAGTGAATTAATATCAAAAGCGCAACGCACGCACGCGATCCATTGATAGGTCAATCAATTAGAATCCCAAGAGATTGGCGTTTTAATGCGTAGCGTTCCTTCGAGCGACAATTATGTCTATAGTGCACGGAATAGTAGAGAAGCACATTTGAGACAACGATTAATAAACCGTTTGCATAATCAAATCGAAGAAATACGAATGAACACGCACAGGAGGCATTTGCCTCCGTTTGCCGAGTCTCTTGTTCGCTCAACGAAACAATTACAAATTCTTTCTATTGTCGTGGAAATTTTCATGAGCTTCGCTCGCCACGAACATCGTGTCAGAAAGAAAACCAAACGCTCGGACAACGTTCGAGCAATTATGAAATAATAACGAGCATTGTTCAAGCCAGAAAAGTAAGAGATAGAGGTTTTACGTCAATCTGTCTGGAATTCTACGGAAGATTCCATGCCTTTCCGCGCGCCGTGGTGGAACGGCGGAGGGTGTGGGCTGCTTAAATAAAAAAATTATAAAGCTCCGCTGAGCGCGCAGACGTGCAGCGGAGCAGCAGCTCGTAGCTGCATGTCTTGGCAATTATTGCGGAAGAGACCTGCCGCTGCAGTATCATTTCGCGAACTCGGCAGACCGTGCTGAAATTCGCGGCGCCGAGGGAACGTTTCGTTCGCAACGCGCGGACCGACGTCCCGTCGATGCGTGGACGCGATCCACCGGCCTGCCAACCGGAATATATATATTTATATATATATAGACCTTGACAAACAGCAGCCGACTGTGCGTGCGTTAAGCGCCTAAAAACTTTACATGTGCACGCTCGCCCGCAGGATTAAGTTCGCTCTCGCAGAGACAGGGATTAGAGATGGGGACGGCCGGGTTATGTAGATGCGCGCAAAGGACTCGGCGCGAATTACATGCCGTCCCAATATCTCTTACTCCGTGCGGCAGCTACGTATACGCGAACGAGCGGCGTCTTCCGCATTCTAGAGGCTCGTGCGTGCGTCTAATATACCTCGGGAGCCGCCTCTTGTCCGATCCTTCTTTTCCCATTAAATGTATGTCGTCTAATTGAAACACAGCGCGGGATTATGCTCTATTCATATTTTGCAGTTGTTCGCGTCGTGTCAAGACACACACACACACACGCGCGCGCGCGCGGGAACATAGATGCCGTTCGTTTTGCCCGCGGCTCGGCGCTCGCGCTCTGGAAACCGAAAGTTCGGCAGAACTGCCCTGGCGCTGTTTTCAAATAAGCGAACGAAAAGAGCGCGAACAAAGCGTTTCTGGAGCGGCCGGTCGCGCGCACTCTCCTAATAGACGCTGTCCGCGCGCGTCGCCTCGGGAAACGGAGAAACCACTCGCAAGGCAGGCGGCGCGACAAAGCTGCTCGCTCGAGCGAACGTCGGCAGCGAGATTATATGTAAAAGTGACGCTAATCGAAAGTAAAATGCCAGGCGCGCGCGCGCGCCAGTTTTTCGTACGGCGGAAAGCTCGACAGTTTCAAAGAGAACCCTCGTTATTCTGAATTCAAGTCGCGAGTGATTTCTCCTTTTCATTATAATAACGATTCTGGCTCGGATGTCGCTCTCGCACACAGACTGGTTTCTCCTTTTTTAGCCGCGCAACAAACTCATACCGCTCTCGCGGAACGTGGACTCGAAAACGCCGCCTCGCGCATCACATTTTCGTCGCGCGTACGATCCAACGGCGTGCCACGGCCACGCGACCATTTTTCCTACTTTTCTCGCTTATTATTACATTCAGATGAGTATTTTTGACGCAATCGATTGCTCACCGGAAGAACTAGTGAGGGTCGTGAGAATCGCATGCAGGTGGCTTACCTGCAACACAAAAGAAAAATCCATCGTAAGTGATATATGAAATAGAAGGGAACCGAGGTTTTAATTATTGATAACAACTGATTTGAACATTCGATATATTTCAACGACAATCCGTCGATTAATCAATTATTATTCTCATCGTTATTACCGAAGTCTCTCTCCTAGAAGCCAGTGCACGACAAGAGAGAAACGACGCGATCGCTTGTAATCCTATTTGCTCTGAATCCGTTCTTGCCTTTCGTTGGCGCATTATTCACGGTCCAGATCCTCCGTAAACTTTTATTATATATACTGGAAAACTAACTTTTTGAGAGCCTCGACCTCTATGTAACAATATTTGCTTCGCATTGTAAAATTTTATCGCAAATTTCGTTCGAACAAAACAATAGATTTTTTTATTTTCACGAAAATTACATTATTCAATGTAACATTTCCGAGACCGTTTTTCCCGCACGAGACAATACTATTCAGTGCGCGTCGAATGAGAATATGCTAAAGTGAAAAGCAGAAGAACGCGGAGAGGAACCTTCGTAGCTATACATATAACGATGGCGCACTTGACGATTCCAAGCACATCAGTTGCGCAGCCGTGTCGCCTCCGACGACGACGAGTAACGCGTTTTTGCGAAAGCGACAGCGACTTTAATGAAGCGCGTGATTCGAAATCTCTTTTTTTTTTCATCCATTCTTTTTATTCGCCACTCTTTACCGCGTCAGGTGGCATACCAAATTCATTTCCTCGACGTATACGTACTCGGAATACCGGCACATTATGTGAGCCGATCGCGCGATATTGGCCAGTGAGAGTTCAACGATCGTTACGCCGAACGAGCGAAAGAAACAGTGTTGGGCGATCGAGCGACTCGACAAAAAAGAAAAAAACAACGTAATTATTAGTTTTGAGTAGATCTCGGAACGATATTTTTTTCGTATGGCTCGATGAATGAGAAAAAAAGAAATGTAATTGTTAGTTGCGAGTCGCGGACAGCAGTTGCCGAACGCGCCGAAAGAGAGGGAGAGAGATCTCTGGCATCGATCAGTCGTCGTTTGTAATCGTGGCATTTCAAACGTCGGCGAAACTCAATCATCATTTTGCAATACGCGCGAGCGTTGAATTACCAATGCGGCTATATTCGCGATTGCGCCACGAAGACGCACACGCATCGGATTGCGCGCTTTTTTTATTCCTTTTTTCTTTTTGCATAGGCATTTTGAAGATCGACGTTGGTCTCTTGGCGAAAGTTTGGACGAGATTGGCACTTTGTCGCAGATTAAGATTGATCGCAGTTGCGCCAGTGATCGACGCATAATAATAAATAGTTGGGTTTTGAACCGATACACGCGGACTTTCCTCGATCAAAAGAATAGCAGTTTCGTTGCAACAGGATCAAATCTCCTGGCGGCTCTGTTTATCATCGCGCAATACTTCGCGCGGGTATAAAAAACAGAAGTCTCGGAAAATAACTCGCGGCAGTCGAAAACCCACGCGTCTCTCGCGGAGAAGTAGGTAAATCGATCACTCGATACTTAAGCAGCTCGCGCGCGAATAAAAAAAGAAAACAAAGAATATCGAGGCAAAAGCATGCCCAGTAGTCCCGTTCGCATTAGTTTTATCGCCCCTGACTGTCACCGCGCGGTGATATACATGCTTGCCAGTGTAAATTACCTCCGCACACACAAACGCACAAACGCGCTCTTATACACGCGCATTAGCCAATTACCACGGAAAAGTCGGTCCCACCTAAACGAGCCAATCTTGGTTATTTACGAGCGACTTGCCGTCTTACTTTTTTTTTTCTCGAGACTTCAAAGGCAGAGGAGATGCTCCAGAGTAATTAATATATATAAGCCAGCGCCGCGGACGGCGATGGTGTAAACAATATACATAAAAATATACGCCTGCGTATTTCGCAAATTAGCAGCTTGGGACAAATGCTTCTAATAATACATGAGCTTTTCATGTTAAACTGTTGCCTTTTTGCATATATCTACTAAATCATAATACTTCGCAAAAAAGGACTTGCGTCACAACGTAATGTCGTTGTTGTGAATTGTGATTGATTGCGCGTCGTAAATCTGACGGATTTTTTTTTCACACGGCGACCTTTTTGGTTTGTTATTTTTTTTTTTTTTACTTTACCACACTTGCAGTTGCGTCAAGGCATTGTTGTAGAAAGCCTGCAGATTTTCAAGAAAAATCGTCTTGTAGTGAAAGTGCGGAATAAAAAAGTAAGTAAATCTCGAATGTACTACATCAGAAGAACAACAAAGGGCTTCGGATATAGAAAGTGAGTTGTAATAGACTTTCTATCGAGCGAACTCGCCGCGAGCAGAACTTTATAGTCATTGATTTTCGTTGTAGCGAGTAATTAAGATAATATCGTCGGAGCTGGCGCACGTTCGTACAATGGTTTTTCGATCAGGCGATTCATCTTCCTTCGCTCATGCAGTTCCTCTTCATCGAAAGTGAGAGAGTCTGTTATCGGCGAAAACCAAAAAGAATCATCGCTCGGCACGATCGCTCACAGTTATTTAGTCCGAAGCGCGCACTTGCGGCCGAATTTCCTTCTTGAAATTTATTACCACAGTTCTTGGGGGTCTGCGTTAACACTGCGTTTCGCATAATAGCAACATGCATTTGCCTCACTAAACTTCCTCGTGCATTAATTCCTATTCTAATTTCACTTTAGTTCGACTTTCAGTTTTTTAATACATCAACACGCGAGAAAGTGTTTTTGATACTCTCATTTTCTTTTCCAAAATAAGAAAAAATAGCACACGCCAAAAACACGTCTGCGAAGTTTCAAGTTTCACGTGTGCAGCCATAATAAATAGCCTAATTATGCGAAACACGGAAGTGTCCGTACGTGATGCCCAAGCAAAACACCTTTTTCCCTCTCCCTTGTTATAGCAAAGAATAAATTAGCCCGATCTGAGTTTCAATTTGCGAGCGCACATAGACGAATGAGAAAAAGAAAAAAAAAAAGAAGAAGGAACGCGCAAATTATACACGCGTTCGATGCGAGGTAGACGGACTAAAAGCAATGTGTTGGCGTGTCAGTGACTCCACGACGATTGGGCAACCCACGTGCGCGCGCGCGCGCGCGCGCGGCGCTGTTGTATATTGCGCAAGGGACAATTTGTCCTGGCGCGACGCCTATTTTCTCCGACTCCGGCCGTACGTATGCATGCCGCTACTTTCGGCGGCTCTGACTCGCACGCCACTTGGCTTGCGTTTTCTTTGCTTTTCGTGCACGTAACTTTTACCGTTCTTACGCATTTCATTTCTTAATTAGATCGATCGCAAAGGGCAGTCCACTCGGTAATCTGAGCACGCGTAAATATACACACAGGCAACAAGACAATCAGTCATTTTAATTAAAAAAAGAATATTAGCAAGTTACTTTTTCGATAAATTCATCGATCTGCAAATGACCCATACCTAGGTTACGAGCGATATCCTGCAATGATTTACGCGGCAGCGTCATCCGAAGAAGCGTTAATGCTCGTGATTACCGTGCAAAGCCACGGAAGACGCAAGCTCGAGCAATACGGGGAATATAGGCGTCACGCTCTGATTCTAGTTCAGTGAAAATGTTCAGCTCTCGTGTCGTAGCGGCACATCGATGCGCTTCGAGCCTTTGACTTCCTTGAGGTACACCTTGAGAAAGATGATTTGCATCGCGGGAAAACTCGATCGATTCGGAATCAAGTGCATGTTCGATATAAAGAGACTTTGTTAAGTGTTTCCACGCCCTCATAAATAACGAGGTCTGATAGATCTGATTGGACGTAGCAATTATTTGCCTGCCATCGTAAAGGCGCGTCTTATTTTTGAACACGGACAAGTCATCGGATAACCAGTCTCGCGCGTTCGCGACGAAAATCCGAATTCGCACTCACCTTAGAAAATTATAATTCCAAGCGAAGGCGTTATTAAAAGGCGTGTACGAGGCCACGACTCTGAAAATTAGCCAGGTTTTCAATCGATAGCGGAGCTTTAACGATCTGCTAGAGCCGCTCGCGTCGTTGTTGTTCCTCGTTTTTTTTTCCTTTTTTCTCCTCCTTTTCGATTATGAATTCCACTGGAAACTACGTGAGCGGACAATTAACGCCAAGCCAATTACACCGTCGCAGGCACATATACGACTTGCGAAAGACACGTTGTTGCTCAATGTCGGACTGCGCCCCTTTACGCCTATGATAACGTTGTTATTGATACGCGCATGGCAGAATATGACGGGTTTTTTTTTATGGGCGAGCATTTAATTGATTTCTCCGTAGTGGCTGAGATCTTAATGGATCGTTATCTCTCGTTAAGGTTTTTCTCTACTTTTTAAATTCGCTAAGTGCCTTTGTGCATTTGGTGAAAATTTAGTATTTACCTTGATAAACTTATTAAGTAATGTTGCGTCATGGATTCTTAATTTACCTCTCGTTAGTGGCGAAAAAATAACAAGGATTGATAGTCGATTTATTGTAATGCGAGAGAATGATTTATTGTTGGTTAATAAATTTTACGATTTTTTTTTGTTAGAAAAAACTGCTATAATTACGTTATTTATCAAGTATTGCCAAAGGACAGGAAATATTAGTTATAACGACAAATGGAATGTTTCATAGCTACTTTGCAAATAAATGAATGCATTGGTTATATTTCTTTTTTCAGCGTGTGACGTCAAAAGTGGTATTTTTTTCGCGAGGTTGCGTAATTTGCAACTTATTTCTGCCAGAAGTATTGGAAATAAATTATTGTTTTTGTGCGCGTAAAGTAAAAAATCGAGAAAATATTTGTACACGTTTCGCCATCGATAGCGAACATTCATAACCAAGCATTTATTATTTAATATTTCTGCAAACGAGAAAATTCAATTTGCTGATGAAGAAAAAAAAAAAAAAAAAAAAAAAAAAAACTTCGAGTGAATACGGCGATTATCGAACAATATTCTCGAAAAGAAAAAACACGTACACACACAGACACAATGAACATTTTTTCGTTC